ATATACTAAGTTGTAAACAGCTGATGAGAACCTGTCGAAATAAAATGAATTTATGTTATTCTGATCAATTCTTTATTCTTGCACTATTAATTGGCTAAGACTATAATTTATAAACGATCTTTGAGCGACATTAAAGTCACTTTGAGAGTGTCTACGTACTTACTAGAGCTAAATGAGGGTTATAAAGCAGTTTGAGGAATAAGGATTATAATTTATAGTTGATGGTTAAAGTTAGGAATTAGATTTAGGGTTTTCATCACGATTTGACATCAACTATAATGCCAAGATTCTAACTAAAAGGGTGAATGAATTTCGAGCAAAAATCTAAGACTTGTTATTGTAAATCTAATTGTTTCGTCCATAAATTATAGTCTCGCAATTAATTACTTTACACAATTATAGATAGGTAGTTTCTGTTGGCCACTATTATACAATTAAGTATTCTTTAAAAATTAATTAATAGATAATCTAATACTATTAAATTTTCATAATCCATATATTCTACTTTAGTATTATAATGATAGTGAATCTCTACTAGTCGACTACTTCACTTCAAGTACTCTCTATGGTGTGACACATCGCTAGTTAATAAGATGACTTCTAGGTATTAATGGGTCTATATTTAATCTAGAGTTACATCTAAAAGACAGAGAATGTGAGATGACATTAACCAAAGACTTTGAAATCCCATTAAATGTACTTATACCTAATCTAGAGTTACATCTAAAAGACAGAGAATGTGAGATGACATTAACCAAAGACTTTGAAATCCCATTAAATGTACTTATACCTAATATGAGAAGTAGTTGATAACAACTAGCAATGATATAATCGTGAAAACAAGTTCATCCACTAAACAAAACTAGATATTAAATATACCACTGAGTTACATTAACTCAAGTTTATAGCTTATTCCAGTGAAATTCGCTGAATTACCGAATCATGTTTAAAAGTTATCTACACGGTGGTATCTTCATAAATTAATAGATTAGTGTCTCTTACTGAGTAATTATAATTATGTATCAGTTTACGGTATTTATGTGTACGATGAACAAAAATGTTGTATCGATTCTTTATTACTTAAGACTCCGATGAAGCATTGCGAGGACAGATTATATTCTTTTTTGAAAAACAACGGCAATTGAATCTTTTAGAATTCAATAACATGGTCAACACCGCGGACTGATCTTAAATAGACAACTATTGGAAATCAGGAAGAAGTGGGTGATTATTTTGGTGCTCTGTGAAATTCTTCAGTGGTGAACATAAGCCACTCTACCATAGGTGATTGAACCCATGACCTTCAAGTCTCATGACAAAGCTCTATTCCTTAGACCATTGATGAGGAGTCCAGTGGTTCTTACTTTTCAGTGGTTATCTAACTAAGATCGGTCCTTGATGTCCCTCCACAAATTTCCTATGCCCATTTAATAATGGTCATATTTAGAATATTTTAAGAAATAATAGATACTTTGTTTTAGTATTCATTATTTTTCATTAATTTCATAGTTAACATGAAGGCAATTAAACGTCATCTTGAGGACTGACTTTTTTAAAAAAAAAAAAGAACTTCATCAGTCAGTCAAAGGTATTCAACTAACAATGTGTAGATGATTAGTGACAATGACGATTACAATTTCTATGGAATGGATAGATTTGACTAGTAATGGAATCCAGTATACATGTTTTGTTCTATTTGTACCTCGTCAGTTGTATATACATCCATCTTTATGTTGATGTTTATGCTAAAAGTAGGACTTCGTATTAAATAGTTGTAAACAAAGGCTATATTAATGCCATTCTCTCATTATTCAAGTCTCTATCTTCCTTTCGCTTTCTCTTTTTCTCTCTTGACATACATGTACATATGAACGTGTGAATTAATTGTTCAACTGTTCATTCAGTGAAGTTTTTTATTTTAACAAACTAATTGTTATACACTTTCATTGTTTCATCACACTAATCTTGGCGGGAGGGGGTATAATGCATTATAATATTGCATTTTATAGTGAACTTACATTGAATATTAAAAGTGAACAGGAAAGAAAAAGAAACAATACTTTAATAGTACAAATAAGAAAGAAATGAATGTAATAAGAATCACGAGACTATTTTATGAGGAACAAAAAAATGAACTTGGTTATTTTTTTCTAATTACAATTAGGATGAGAACATTACTACTATTATTAATAATACCTATAAGAATAATAACAATATTAGTTATTATAATTGTAGTTGTATCCAAGTGTCATCCATATCCCATTCGCTTTTCTTATCTTCCCTTGTGAATTCTAAAAAGTTCTCTGATCTGAACTACACTTAAAATACAAATCATGTGCTCACTAGTGATTAGCTTCGTGAAGCGATTCTCGGAGTTCTGGTGAGAAGCCGTAACCAGTGGAGCTAATCCGTGTCGGGTAGAGACAGGTATCTACCTAAGTACAATGGAAGATGGTCACGCAACTTCGTGAATTGGTTGAGGTTAGACATTAACACTATTGGATGCCGACTCAGTGCTCCAGGAGGTTAAGCGTTAGCACGCGAGACTGAAGGCCCTGGGTTCAAATCCCTTGAGCGGTATCGTGGATGCGCTCTACTGAGGAGTCCTACAATAGGACGAAACGGTCGTCCACTGCTTCCAGGTTTCCAACAGTGATCTAGCATCAATCAGTTCATGATCTCAATCATAAAATACAAATATTGATCATCTGATAACTAACATATTGGTCAATGGTTCCCCAAGTTGGTTAAAGCAGTCCATATTTTAAGATGTTACTATAAATGCATTTTTTGGTTATGGAACAAAACAACAAATTAACCTTAGTTACACTTTCCCTACACATAAATATATACAGTATTTTTATTGGTAGGTAAGATTTATGTTGCTAAGGTGGATTGTTTGATTTTTATTGGTTGGCAAAAAATTGTTTTGTTTAGTAAAACTCAACAAAAAAATAAATAAAACTCATTTTTAGAATTTACTTTACCTTTGTTTGCTTTTTAATATTAATCCCATTAAAATTCATATGTAACACAGTTATACACTTAACTCATTCACATACATATACAAACAAAGACAACAATTAACATACATGAAAAGGGAAGTTAAAATAAGAATTAATGTATCTCTTATTGTTTATTTATTTATTATTATTTATAAAATATGATTAAAAAGTGATAGAAAGAGAGGGAGGGGGGAGAAAAACACTTTACCGATGGGATGGTTTGATAATGGTAATAATAATAATAATATAGTATTTATATTCTACCTTTTATAAAATGTACACATTGTTATCTTTGGGCTGAACCAACTAACTATCTGATAACCTAAGCAACAATGATATGGATAGCTCTATACTGGCTAAATTTTTTTTTGTAATAATCGGTCTGTATGTCTTTTAAACACTTACATTTGTAAGAAACTGTTCAAAATTGAATTATTCAAAGAAATTTTCACTATGACTGTTCTCGTTTTCTCATTTATCAACTTAATAATTCGATTTTAAGTATTATGAGTCTGATTGATTGTGCGTTTGCTTATAACCTTTTACCAAGATTGTAAGAAATTAAGGTCAAATAAAGAAGGTGTATATTTGTGTATGATCAATGAATGAAAATGTAAAGTTCTCTCAGAGAATCTTTAAGAAAAGATAAACTATGTTATGAGTTCAGTAAAAATGGTTATTGATTTCAAAATCTACAGGTCAGGTAAAAGGATTAATTCACTTGGGCCTTATTTTTCTTTATATTTAAATTTCTTGACTCAATCATGGTTGTTAAGGTCATGTTAAAGAAAAGTTTCCAAACAACTGTTTTCATGCATAGTTTATATTGCGAATAGCTAGAACATCTTCGATTCACTGTACATCTTTATTGACCCCAAATGCGCTGGTACGGCTGACAGTGGGAAGAGTCAGCTCTCCTTCTCTAAATGCTCTTTCACGATCACGCGTATGCAGCCACTAACACGGGAGTCTTATTGCCATCTCGCGGCGAGGGTGCTGTATATGAAATTGAGAGGACGAAAAGGGAATATCGGGTGCTTTAACTGGTGTGGTGGATATGGCGAATCCACATAGGGGAGTTGGAAAACCCTGATTTCGAACTAGTCGCACACATGTACTCCAGGAGCTTATGAACCAATTGTTGGTCATAGGCTACCATGGGACTAATGTTACCTCACTGCCTTGTGAATTATACTTTCAGGTCATAGGCTCGGGGTGTGGTCCCCTAAGAAAACCACCCACTTCGGTCTGAGCACCCGGGCAGTATCACAGCCCTCACACAAATAAATGATTACTACTAGCCTCATTGTTTTTGTGTGGTGCATATGTATTTGGTGCCCCCTCGTACCGTTGTTTGTATGTTCAAATAAATAATAAATATCTTGTATTATTTGAATGGATATGGTAAATAATTTAAAAAGTTAAATAACATGTTTAATCTCCTCAATCAAGCACATGTTACAGAACGCAAGATATTAACCATTTGATTTATCATTCTTAGGCAGAATTCCAGGAGGTGACCTCAGACCAGGCAAAGAATAAATTTAGATATTTGTTAACGGTGAAGATTTTTAGAAATCTCAACAACAATATCCTTCAACTATATACATATGAAAATGATAATTTATGATAATTTAGTTTATTCAAGCATAAAATAGGATAGGGTTATGAACCGAAGGTCCTGAATTCCAGTCCCACGTGTGTGATTGTAGATATGCACTATTGAGAAGTCCCATACCAAAACGAAGCAGTCATCCAATGCTTCCAGGTTTTCAACGGTGGTCTAACATTGATTGATTCATCATTTCAATTATAAAGTAGGAGTTTCACCTTGTCAATATAAAGTGTTTTGTTTTTTTAAAGACTGAACATCACTGAAAATGTTTCATTTTGATTTGTTAATACTCTTCAAAAATGACAGAATCATTTCTTTACATTAATCACTTTTATGTTATTCTTTATAGGTAATTAATTAATTTTTATACAAAGAGAAAAATGTTGTGCAATCTACCATGTCGAATTGTTTTGATTGCTATGAACACTGTCAGCTTGGTAAGTTTCATGTATATATTATATGCTCTCTCTCTCTCATACATTTCATTCAATAACAAATCAAAGTGATACAAAGATCTATGAATTGTAGTTCCCAGAAGAATTGTTCAAAAGTTCACTATTTTGGCAATATAACATTGTCTAGTTTACTTATTGTTATATGCCTTATTTTGGCTAATGTTACGTAATATTTGTGTTTTTAGAACTGTAGAGAAGGATGGTTGAAAATGTTAAAAATAGTTGTTTACCCAAATATTTCTTGTTTTCAGATATATCTTAAAATGTTTGATTTTTAATAATTTTTTTCTGGTTAGCGTTTTTTTAGCGAGTTAGTTTTCTACGGGATGAGGTCACTAACCCCATGCCAAACCCTCCTTCTTTATCCGGGCTTGGGACCGGCAGTAGCCTTCGGAAGGACTCCAGACGGAGTTATCTTGAAATGTTATCACAGTACAAAAACAGAAGTGAACTGAAATTGAAAAATATAAACCTGTTTATTTGTAAATAGTTCCGATTGAAAGATAATGATCAAAAGGGTAACGGGTGGGGATATTATCATTACGACGAACAGTATTTTTTTAAAATTATGGAATGGCATTACCTATGTATTCAATGAAAATAAAATGTCACTTTTGGACAGCAGACTATCAACATCTATATAAAATTAAAAAAGTAGTCCCTATGATGTTGACTTACCTGAAAAAAAACGAGAGCGATAGCTTGGTGATTAAATCACTTGGCTATCATTCATTAACTCTCATATTATAATTTAGGCTTACCTAACTCGATTTAAACAATCAGTTAGTAGTAGTATCATTATTTCTTACATAAATAATGCATTTCGCAGGCTAGTCGATGAAACTGTATCAGAAAGTCAGTCACTGAACAAACAGCTCAGCGGTAATATCTCATACTGTAAATCACATAATTTATGAATGATCGATTCAAAACATTGGTGAAACAGTTTTCAGTAACTATTCAGCTGATGAGATTATTTCACAATAGAAACTTTCTTTCTGAGTAAAATAATATTTAAGGAAAACCAGTGATATTATTGGGAAGGAAACCAACTGTTTAACAATAGAAATAACTCTATAACTACAATGAAGTTGGCAAGTATTAATTAAGATGGTGGTTGGAGGTAGTCAGCAGTAAACCCTGGACCTAGGTTTCGTGCTACTTGACACTCGTCAGCATGATGTGCCTGTAATCTTAAGGGAATTGATGTTCCATGATGAATTCGATCCCGTGTCACCCAGCTTCACAGTCAGAGACCTTACCATCGAGCTGTCCGGGCCGCGACTGACCTTCGGTATTTACAATCGATTGACCACTGCGTGGTGATCAATGTCATGCATGTCTGTGTATTATTATATATGACCGTGAAGCTGGGTGAAACGGGATCGAATTCGTCAGGAAGCATTATTTCCCTCAAGAATAAAGGTACACTTTGCTGACGAGTGCCAAATGGCATGAAACCTAGGTCCAGGGTTTACTGTTGACTACCTCCAACCTCTATCTTATCTAAAAATAGTACATACAATGTCGAGTCACATAGACTGGTATCCATATTGCAACTTGGTCGATAGGATTCAATCTGCACTAAGAAAGACCTGACATACATGACATTGATCACCACCCAATAATGAATCAATTGTAAGTATTAATTAGTCTAATGTCACATTGATGTTCCGGAACATTTCAATAATAAAGTTAATAATAGTGTACACATTTTGTTTAATTCTTAATGTAAATGATTGTTATTCTATTCATCAAATGATTATTGTTGACCTTAAATTAACTTTTTCAATCATATTTATACAATGATTTTATTGCTAATTATTCAATGAAATAGATGATCAATGTCTAATCAGGGTTTATAGAAAGATACAACATTTGTGATAAACATTTACGATTTGTTTATTGTTTAGAATAATTTTCTTGTTTTGTTATTGTTTTTACATGTCTGTATATTAGATATTAAGTTTCATGAAGTAGAGTCTATATAGTTTTATGATTTCATTGAAATGATGGAGTGATCTAAATTAGATCATCATTGAAAACTTGTAAACACTAGACGACCATTTCGTCGTAGTATGAAACTCCACAACAATGTACGTCCATAACCCCACCCATGGGACTCGAATCCAGGACCTTGAGCCTCGCACGTGAACTCTTAACCTCCAGACCACTGAGCTAACGTCAAACGATGTTAATGTATAACCTCAATCAGTTCACGATTATCACAAGACGATTATATAAGTATTAAATAAGTCTAACTTATTTCCAAAAAAATGAGTAATTTTCATACGATTTATCATGACTACTACTACAATAAGAAATATGAATTTTAAAGATTAAAAATGCCTGTTGCTGATCTTGTTTATAACCATTATGCTCTGCCATAGTGAATGATATTGGCTAGTGTAGAAGTAAGTTGAAAGAAAGATAAAACAGCAAACCATAAACATGGCATCAGTTCGTAAAGTCATTGGTCGGTTACACGTCAACTTAAATGTAGAATTCTTGCTTATGAACAACCGGACAATCAAAGTCTATTAATGGAAGTACTGATAGATATCATTCAAAATACGTTATCATTTCCACTTTCTAACTTCTCATGTTAAACACTTCTCTCATTATGTTCGAGTGAGTAGTAACAAATTAAACTGTTTTATAATGTCTATGACTGAATGATTATATGGTTCATGAATTCTTTTTGGTGAAAAATTCCATGAAACAATCTTTTTGTCCTTTGTATAATATGTAAACCATAGTCAGACCGATTCATGTAAACTATAGTTTTATTCATGTACAAACATGTTATTAAGTTCAGTATACAACAGAAATATCTTGAATAAGGGATAGAAATGGCATATTACTGTTCATAAACATTCTAAATATTTTGGCAAGTATCTAAATATAAAGTGTTGGGAAGATTTGTTTTTATTTAATCCTTGAAAAATTACCTATATAAGCGAAGATGGATGTGGCTATCAGTGGAATCCAGGATGAGCGTTTCATCTTATTTGAAACTTCTCAGTTGAATTTACCTGCATCCCAGAGTTGATGTTCACTTTGAGACTCTAACCCAGTACCGTTCGCTTCAAATGCCATCGCGTTATCCACAAGCATTTTGAATTCCACGTCTAACCACTTTCTATTTTTGCTTATAATGCCTGTAACTTAAAGCAATATCGAGGTAATCCATACAAGATGCATATATGCCAATAAGAGCCTGATGCAAACAAACAACATAAGATAAATTTAAATTAATTATATCTTTAAAAAAGGTTGTTTTAGTCATTTCAATGAAAGGATTCTCTTACTTTTAATGTTGTGTTCTATTGAGTTAAATAGTAATAAGTAAATAGAGTTTCGTATTACAGTTCAACTTCAAGATGGAGTTAATATGAAATAAAATAATGATATGTTACTATAATGTTTAATATTGAAACAAGATCGTGTCATTTTTGCATCCAAAATATTAATCAACTGTACTTATCAATCTTTTGAAATAAAGATTGTAGGGCTGGCATTGCTCATACTTGGAGCCTTGATGGTTTGGGGTCAAACTGTTATACAATCTCTATTGAATAATTTCGTAACCAATCTAATTCATCAATATATTAAAGGAAGCGATGGTGGACAAATTAATGAACTGGTTACAAGAATACTGACGTCTACTTGTAAGTAGCATGTTATATTGCTGATAAATTTTCCCGTATTATTTTGTGTTTATTGTATCAACAGTTTATTAAGTTAACCTGATTTGTTTTTTTCCATTCAGAGTAGCCATATTGGAACATACTGATGATGGGGGAATAATTTAAGTAACTCTAGAAGAGTATTAGAAATTGATTTACGTGTGAATGGTAATCGAATTGAGACCTTAAAATATTTTCGAAAAATATTAAGTTTTCATGATATGATCTGCTGTTGATATTTGTACTGCTTGAACAATTCATCTATACGCTTGGCGATTTTGTGATCAAGTTAAGGGTAATAATTTGTACTTTTCCGATACACGGATTCTCCATGAACAGTATGTCAGTTGACTAAATTCAACGAGCAAAAAAATGCAGCAAAGCATATATAACTTTAAAAAACATGCATGCGGACATTTAGAAGCATAATATTTTATTTCGTTGTAGAAGTGGTGTTAGCTACTCGGGTTGTACGACCTATTGTACTCCTGAACTATTTAGGTAATCGGTTACAAAAGTATAACAATACCGTTGGTAAGACTACAGTCACCGCTAGTTAACTGATTCATTTGTTGTGAGATACAAGGATAGCAACTGTACTCACGTAGTGTTGCTGATTACGAGTTTACAAGCTCAATAATATATAACATCTGCTTTGTCCGGGGTGGAACGAACAGGGATCATATCTCAAACCCGATTTACAATATCACTTTAAACTATAATCATCTGTAGGTATTATTCGTCAAAAACTGAACTTGTTGTTGGAAACTAGGAAGAGTTGGATAACGATTTCATCATAATATGAGATACTTCAGCACAATGTAGTCATGGCCATACTAAGGTTCAAACCAAGAACCCTTACGTCTTGTAGCATCCATTAATCTTCCTAACCATTATTTTACAATTTCAAATGTGAAATATAGTCATAAACATACATTATCATTAGTAATCACTGATTTACTCCTTACATAATTTGAACTTTGTAATCATCAAATGAACAACAGTATAGTCTTTATTTATTCCAATATTATATTGAATGGGATTAGGTGAAAATATTATATTTGACTTGGAGACCTATGAAAATCAACCGAATCAATACTGTACACCATATCAAAATTAAAATTCGATTTAACTCGATAAAATCATTCAAAATGAAATGTATGTCACACTTTCATAGTCGAGTTACTAGAATGTTCGCCTTTATTTCACAGTAAAATATCCACTGTATATATGATCATACAATTTTAGTCAGTTTTTTTCTCTAAAAATCAATCTAAGCGTTGTGAACGATTTATTGTTTAAAAAAATCCATAAACGGAACTTAATCCTGATTGCTTATTGATTGACATATAAGATTTAAATTTCCATTGAATTGGTCTCAAGTTGACAGACATCTTGTAGTGCGGTGAACAGAACACAGGTGGGAACAATCGGACGTACTTAACACAAAATTACATGACTTGTTCATAAAATTCTAACAATCAGAAAGTAAATGCTTAATTTGCAAAATGTCCACCAATTGTCTCAAAATGACTCAGACTTTATTGTTCTTGCATTTTCATACTAATTGCATCCTGTTTCCATTCTTTACTGTTCGATCCTTTTGTCTCTCTGCTGCCAGACCTTTTGTTCACGACTAACACCATATACTACTTATGTCAATATAAGTAGCGCACACCACAGTAGTAACTTAGTTTCGTTAATCAATCACCTTTGTAAATGTTATTATGTAAATCCCATTGGTATTTGAAATTAGAAGGCCATAAGAAGTAGCAACTGCAGTTTATTAAAGGATAGTACGAATAACAAAGTTATAAGTGAATCGAGCGAATTTCGAGCAGTGAGGTAGATATATGTGTGCGAACGAATGCAGAGGTGAATTTATGGTCAAATCGAATAAGGACGCATCTAGGCAAGACAAAGACTCATAATAAGATCCGAGTACATATATACATGACAAAGAGAATGAGTTATCGAGCGATATTTAAACTACCAATATTTAAGCTAGAAAGAGATATGTCTGCAGGCTGTTACATATGATCAAGCGTACATGTTTATACAGACAAGATAGTGATCATAATATGTTACAAAGAAATATATGAATTGTTACTGTTGAAATAACATTATCTCTTAAGTTTATAAAACGTCTTAACCAAGATTAACCATAATCGAAATTGATTGTAGGAGAGTTGCTATAATCTCTAAAATTGTTGAGTATAAATGTATAAGTTTTCACGTAAGGTGAATATAATCGATTTAAAATTACACTGTATCAAACATATTAAACATATGACTTATTGGAATCAAATGCAGTGACTTAGAAGTACTTTTATTTCTATGTTATGTAAAGGATCTTGGTTCGTGAAATGCGCTTATGGGTATTAATGATATCGGAATTGCTTAAGGTTTTTTTTAAATAGTTTTCCTTCAATTCTATACATATACTGTCAGAATTCACTGGTAAGCTGGTTAAACTGAGTTATAATAGGGATTTCAACTAAATTTTTCATTCATATTGACTGACAAACAAATCTATACACGCAAAGCGTACTGATTGTGTGATTACCTCAAAGAGAACATAATAAGAAAGCTGCATAAATAGGCCTCTATATCATCACTGAATGATTAATTTCACCTTATAGATTACAGAACTATTTAAAACCGTGATATCCTGGATGCATGTTTTATCATAATATGGGGTTATTCAGCAATGATCATCCACAACCCTCCTAGGGGATGAAATCGGAACCCTCAAGCCCTGTTATAAGAGTTTGACCTCAAAAACAAATTTAATATAAACCAATATAAACCATAAATCGAATCATTTTTATAAACCTTCTATAATAAGAATATCATCTTGTTATATTTAAAAATTCAACTAGGAAAATAGCCACTGGTTAAAGAGATATTAAAAATCGGTTAAAGAAAGTAACCAGAAATGAAACAAGGAATTGGACAGATGGTATTGTTTATATAAGTACTTGTCCATCTAAATTAACGTTAGCATGAATTCAGTTTTTGAGATCAGTATTCATTATGAGCTGATATCATCTGGAGAATCAGTGAAAACTCAAATGAAATATTGGATATCTGTTTCATTGTAACTTGTTACTCTCAGATATTCTATAGTAAAAGTCTACATTAAATCTTGAACTTAAGTTATTCAGTTTCCACAGCAAACACATTACGACTTAACAGTCAGTGAGCAAATAACAAATAATGTTTATTTTAAGTTTCATTTATAACCATTCAATGTTACTAACATCGGTGACAAATGCCTCATTCTCTATATGACTGAACATTTCCTAGTCAAATAACTTATACAGAGGGCGTATATCAAATGGTTGGTGATAGAATACTGTTATTTGAAATTTAGAAATTACTAAAGATGAGTTTGATATTTTCCATATAGGAAGAAGAATTTGTAATGACTGACAAGATTATCTTTTTAAGGCATTTATATCATTATTAGAATGAGTTTGAAATATTCCGTTGTTGATATTTTGACTAATTTTGACCAGTTTTGGTCTAAATATATATGCATCCTGTACCAACTGTATCGACGTATCCATTTCAACTTTAGCTCAAAAAACCTGACTTCTTATTCACTGAGCTACCGGACTCAACGCTGAGTTCGAGTCCCGGAGCGAATATCAACACTGAGATGCAGTTAGGTCCACTTGACGAGTCCCGAGTTAAAAGAAAAGCTCGTCTTAGATTCCACTGCTACCCATAATCGTTCTGTTTTAAGACATTTTTAATTAGAGAGATGATAGATGATTTTAATTAGTTAATTTTAGTTTGATATCTACTATCTTAACATAATGAAAGAACAGAATGAAACGAAAGCTCTTATATGAACAAATTTCGTTCCATATTGTCTACGTTGGAAACAATCATTTCTGGTTACATTAGCAAACGTTCTAAAGTCAATTTGTTGATGTAAATTGTCTTTGAAATTGATTGGTCCTCACTAAATTTTCCATCTTGATAATAATCAGACGAGTTGAGAAGAATTTCCGAAAGTTTTACTTTTAAGAAATTAATGGTATGGAGTGAGATACGTACTGTAGTGAACAAGAACACGACTAGGGATGTATTTGACACAAAAAATTACAGAGCATCTCACTAAAATCTGAGAATCATATAGTAAGTAGTTAATTTGCAAAATATTAATCCATCGTCTCAAACGTGACCGGTCCTTTTGCAAATATCAGTCCATTGTCTCAAATTTCATTGTTCATACATTTTCATACCAATTGCGTTCCGTTCCCGTTCTTTCCTTATCGATCTTCTACTGAACTACATTCTATGCCTGACCACCGTTATACGCTACTTATGTGGATATAAGTAACCCACACCACAATACCACAGATGAAGATAGATGATATTTATACAATACAGTGAAATAATTGAAGTTGGGATTGCGAACTAATGAACGTCAACTCAGCTGTTCAAATTTAATAAGTTTACTGGAAGATGAAAAAGGGCATGAGTTTATTTTCTGTCTGATTCGTCGAATTACTTCTCTGAGAAATCCAGTACTTGAACGACATATCAATCCTGTGCTCCCTTATTCTCAATGATTCTGTAACTAATTTCAGTCTGTCAAATAAACTGTTTTCAAATCATAACAATGGATTAATATATTAACAAGTTTGATATTGGTATAACTGGATGTGTCATTCAATTTCATGTATTAGTTGAAGTTAGACATTAACACCACTGAATGCCATCCAGCTCAGTGGTCTAGTGGTTAAGTGCTTGCGCGCGAGACTTATAGTTCTTGGGTTTGAATCTCGCGAGGCGAGATCGAAGTGGCCATCCAGTGCTTCGAGGTTTTCTATGGTGGTCTAGCTTCAATTGGCTCATGATCTCAGCGACCAAAATTCAAATAACTTACTAGTTGTCTATGTTAGCAGATTAATGAAATTCATTTGGTGAATATAGAGTGGTTATATCCAAGTCTGTTACAGTACGTGTAGGATCAGTAGAGTGTTTCTCACTCAAATGTACCATTCATTGAAATTAAACTTTAAACACAGTAAAGGATTTTCAAATCTTATTAATTTATGTAGATAATATAACTTACATTATAACGAGTAAATTCTGACATCCGACTGATTCAATATTCAATCATTGTTTCAACTCGACACTGACTGTTATTTGAATTTGTAAACATAAGCTATACTGATTCGTCACTCTGACTATCTGTGAAATTTAATTGATCAAACTAATTTATTAGTATCTTCCATATTCAGTCTTTGAAACATGAATAGATTAAATGCCAACTTGAGTATGTGTGCACCATGTGATTCACGTATTCAAAATCACTATAGATTAATGATTAAGTCAATTTCATGTTGTCCAACCTCATCACCATTCACTCTATGATTTCATTTCAATACTTTAGTTTCATATGGTTATTTCATTTCTTCGACTTTCAACATTTAGAGTGAAAATATTGTGTTTGTTTTGTTTTTGTACATACACTTTATTTGATTTCTTAGAAAGTGAGTACCAGCTCATCTTTCTTCCCCATAATTTAGGTTATTTACGATCAATAGTTTGAATATGATTTATATCACCTAAAAATTAATAATTTAAGTTAAATCATAAACCGTCCGTCGCTACTACAAATTGAATGGTTTAGTGAAATCGTTGGATTGGTGTCGTTGTAATAGCTTTGCCGTTCGACTGATGCTGAGATGACCTAATTTGAGTATTTAAAGGAAACAAAAGTTGTAACAAGGTTTCCGTAGGTGAACCTGTGGAACGATCATTATCATGAAGCAAAAATATATGATGAAGCATGCACCTGGTTTCGCGTTAGACTACTTAGTGGTATTTACCCTAAGCTTCAGTAATCTGATTAATTTTTCTACTCATTGGGATATTACCAATCTATTCATTTATTTATAATATCTAATTGTTTTGGTATTTTTATTGTGATCTTTATTATTTCCAGCTCCAGTTGGTTTAGCAGTCTTTATACTAGGTGCTGTTTGTACAGGTATCTCAATATTTGGTTATTGTGGAGCCTGTTGCAATATGAAGATACTACTTTATATAGTAAGTAAAAATAATAATAAGTTTCATTACATTAGAAATGAAAACCAATTAATTTTTTACTTTAATTGATCATTTAATGGTCAATAAAAATGATTAGTCCCCCCCCCTCGCTACTTAAATAAAGTTTATGAATCGTAATGGGTATTTTGTTTTTAATATTTCGTTTTCCAATTTATATCCGTTACAAAGAAAGAACCACATTGTTCTTTTGATTCTATATTTAGTAGTTTGACTATAATTGATCACTATGATGACTAATTCAATATAGACTTTTCATATGGTTACAATTATTATTTGACTGAGTTGATTGACTGAATGAGAAAAAAATATACCTGGTGATACCTAAAAAAAGAAACAAGGGGGTGTAGGTAATAAATAAGAACTTTCGTTTAAATTTGATCGAATAGTTTCACAGTATTTGAGCGCCAACTTAATGTGAGATATTAAAGATATTTCCCTGAAAAAAGCTTGGGCATGATTGTTAGGCGAAACGTTGGATTTACTTCAAAATTTATTCGCTGAGATTTTACAAATACATGCTTCCTCTTTAGGGGGTATATGGTTAGGATATAATGTAGATTTTTCTACAATTTATCATGAGTAGTGAGCATGTATGAAGAATGATGGTAAATGGCCTATACTCCTTCATAAGGGGTGACAGGTGTAAGTAAGTAAGTTATAAGTATGTAGTTGTCTTACTAATGAGAAACAAGCTAGTTTACTGAACATCAAAAACGAGCTTAGAGTAAATTGTCTCATTAGTTCAAAGGGTTAGGGATAAACTTAACATTATCAAATCATTTAAGTGTATCGTATTCAGTGATTACAGTTATGTTTTCGTTTATTTAGTCACTCAATATTAGATATTTTTGAATAATTTCTACTATATACTTAATTAGAGGTGTAACGTTTGGTATGTTGTAATTTTTCTACCATCATGACAAACTGCGTTACACTTGACACGTCCGTAGCATAATAGAGTGGTATTTTCGTTGTACAAAACTCTATATTTTTCATTCAATCGAGCAAAGACGATAGAGAACGAAACACATCCTCCATTTTGGATCACGACGATGTAAGTAATAATTCTCGGTTCATGTTGGTTGGTTGCCAGGGGCAAGGTCAGATTTGTAAACGAGATCAGAGTTTATCCCTAACACGCATTTCCACATTACTTGAGGAAACATGGGAGTTCTATACTTGAAGTAGATTGATTATTCCAGCCAAATATATAATTTAAAAAATGATAAAATTCACAGGAGTGATAGCTGAGGAAAACCAAGTACTTGATTGTTTCTTAACAAAATTGTTCGAACGTACTTTTATCGATATATTAGACTGTATTATAAATATATAGAAATATATATTAGGTCAAATTTAACTGTGTTAGAACTCCGAGGGATCTATTCGCTTGCTTTTCAGATTCTTTAAAATCAGTTAAACCTTAACTCTCCAGATCTGTATTCGTTACGTTGTCAAGTTAATTCTACTAATTTGACTACAATACTAAAACCTTAGTTGATAAAATACTGTTATCCATTAAGATCAGATGGAACGATACTCGTCAATAAATATTTAATTCATAGAGTGAAACAACACGTAATTGGTTAAAGTTACACTCATATATTCCTGTTTAAGAAGAAAACAACATGAGAATTTCTTTTCGGGTTTTGGTAGTGGTAGAGAATAGGGGAAAGCTAGGCTAAAAAGTATTTTCACTAGCCCGGTTATGTTTTATGTAAATAAAAAACTATGAATCAATTCACTGATTATTGAAATACAAGCAAGTATTGTGTATAATTACTACAAACTCTAGGTTTTGATTCCTATCTAACGTACTGTACTGTTGCAAGAACTGAGATTCATGAATTAAGGTTTGAACTCATGAATGACTTTATGAACTAATAATTTTCTGAGTGGTGACCTCAAAATTATATAAATATATACATCCCACTTTCTTTGTGATAGAATACTCAGTGAACAGACCTTTTGCACTTTTATATGACTAGAAACGAGAATATCTGAACTCGGAAACTTTAAAAACATTGATCTATAAAAAAAAGTTTAGTTCACGAAGCAATCTAAGTTAGACCACTGTTGAAAACCTAGAAGCACTATATGGCCACCTCGTCCTAGTACGTGACTCCTCAACAGTACATATCCCGGCACAGTGGTCTAGAGGTGGTGTTAGAGCGCGAAACCGGAAATCTCGTGTTTAATTCGTGCATGCGGGTGAGTGGATGAGCACTTCTGAGGAGTCCCATCCAATGCTTCCAGGTTTCCAACCGTCGTCTAGTTTGGATTGACTAGTGAATTCAACTTTGAGAATACTACGATCTCCACAAATCCCCAAAACTGATTATGAAAAAAGTGGGTAATAATCATTACGGTCTCATGGTTTTTAAATGCCTTGTAAGTTTTGACTTGATATGTACAGGTAACGCTTAGTCATCCGTAAATAATTGTACACAGTAACCAGCGCCACTAATATATTGAAATAGTTTTAGTATCTGCAATGCACAACATTACTTAATAACCCAATATCAATCAGTACAAATACCTAATAATTTAGAATATTAGTTACTAGCCCCAAACTACTGAATTCTGTATATAAGTAACACCTCGTGTTTTATTTCTTTTGTTCTATAATTATCGTTCGCGTTATCTATATGACGATTAACTGTCTGTTTTATATTCATTTCCATTTAGTACGCAATTCTAGTAGGAGCTTTGGCACTTGCTTTTCTGGTTACATTCAGTGTGTACTTCTCTCGTAAAGATGAGGTAAGTTCTACAACTTTTCTAAACTGAATCATTAAATGTTATAATTAGTAGACTGATTACACATTTTCATTTATTCAAAAGACATAGGTTCACACTGGAAGAAAGAAACTTTTAAAATAGAAAGAAATAAATGTCTAGTGGTACATAAACCTATATAAATCCCTCGAGAAACTACTTTTAAGATTATTTATACATCACAAACCGTATCATAAAGTATTAGAGATTCAATAATTCAAGGTAGTTCTACTAATAAAGAACAGAGAAAAAGAAAGTCATTGAAATGGATAACAATAATAATCTGATAATTTTCGGTTAAATCACTTGCCAGTTTCAGGTTTATGTTTCTTAAGTTTGAATCACTCTGTTTATGAATAGGTTAGTGTTAATGATCAGCTGCCTATTACCGAGGTAGATAAAATGGGGGTTCGAGCCTGCAACGTACTAAATGAAATGTAGATTATTTAACTAACAAGTTACCTCCTTCCAATATACTAATGATTGTTCAGGTTGGAAGTGTTTTGGTTTGAACCACCATCAAATACGCACAGGTATTTATCAATAATTGTTTGATCCGTTGGCTAGATACCATTAGCAATAACCTACTGAAACAGAAAAAACCAGCTTCTAGCTGAATAGAAAATTAAGAGATGCTGGAGGTGAACAAGACACACATTGTGGAAATCGTCAAAATACATCACAATGCGATCGCTAACTTAGAATTCTTCAGCGGAAAAGGAAAAAAAGATAAAACAAAACACACATGGTCCCAGGAATTATAGGTATACATCAAAAGAGTGAAAAGGAGTTGGGAGAAAACTGGGAAGGAGAAGCCATGACATAGTTGAGAGCTGAAACAACTAGAGTCAAAGAAGAATGAAACCTATTCAAACATCATAGGTATTTAAAACATTCATAAAATCAAAGGTTTGTTTATCTGATGCTAGATGAAACAAAACTGAATATTCAACGAAAAATATATGGGCAAAGTTATTCCACAAAATTTAACTGTTATTTTAACACTTTTTAACATCTAGATTGGCAACAAAGCAGTTGAAATGTTCGAGACGAGTGTAAAGAATTATCAATCAATGGAAGCAAATACACTGGACAGTCTAGTAGTTGGCTTAATCTCACCTCCGGTAAGCACGTGTACTTCATGTTTTTTTCTGAGTAATGTGTGTGTCTATATTTAAATACCAAAACCAATATAGATTTGAGATCTTAAACAAGTCTTGAACAGTGAAGAATATGATTTATTGATTACTACTCCATAGTTATTGTCCATAATAAAAGCAAATTATTATTTTAATATCAATGAATCTAGTTTTTTTTTCTTTAATTATTTAACGACTAAGTATTATTGATGTACAAAGGTCCTTACTTAGAAATCTTGGACATGAACCGCACCCTTGACTACATGTCACATCTAAGACTCCGATTACCCTAATTAAATTCAACTACGTAACGACAAGCAAATCCATATTCCTAACATTGTATCAGGGCTACGAATTCTACCTGGCTAGTGAAGCAGAAAGTAAATGAAGTGAGATTCGAATCTTTAACCTAGTTATTGCCTGGCAACTGTTATACTCTTCAAGTCATCACAGTCTTCAAAATTAAATGTATAACCTAGAAGAAAATACTTGATCATTATATTGATCTTCAGATGAAATAGGCTGAATCAAACATTTTGCAAGCTAAATTATACAGGTTCCTGGTGTGATCCAACCACACGAGTTTTGAAAAACTTAATGGATCTTTATTCTTAAAATGTTTATAGTTATTCAGTGCAAAGAGTTTAGAAATTTATTTATATTTAGTGTTCTACAAATAACAGATAGATCACTATGCGTTTAATTATACGATAATTCTGTTTAACCTTTCATCAACACATATTATTTTTTTTATAGCTTCAATGCTGTGGTGTGGATGGTGGAAGTGACTTTAAAAACTCACCTAATTTCTGGAAAAATGACACTTACGGTGGTAAAACATATACTAGTAAGCGTTTCTCCTATTTACTTTGATGTCTTTTTTACTCTGTGTCAAAATGTGGCTTGAAGTACGGTCCATAGTCAACCAACTGACTTAGAACCACTTTATATACATATTTTAACAATAGGAAGCTGGGGCTAGTCAACAAGAAACTCTGAACCTAGATCTTTTGCCGGCTGCCACCTACTGGTAGGCCATATATTCAATTAAATGCATACTTACTAAGTTATATACTCAGAGAACGCCAGTCAATAAGACGGAACAACAGTTGAACTTTAGATTAATAAAATTGATACCAAGTATTTCGTTTCCACAAGTCATTGTATGTCTAGATCATCAAGACCTCTTAAAGTTCATTTTAAAAATGGATTGTTTACGAATTTATTTTAAAAAATTAGTTAACAGTTCAATTGGCCTTCAGCCATCCTTCATAATTTTCAAATAGCCTGACTTGGAATCGATACAAACAACCACTTCTAACTCTTAGCGAGTTCAAAAGGACAAAATTTAACTTAAAGAGGATGAAAGTAACAGGGATTAATGAGTTAACTCTATTTGTTTTTAGTTTTACTAACTAGTTTGACTATGATATTGGATAGACGTTGAGAACTGAATGGAACTCCATTTGACTAATTCGTCATAGAAGTACACGTACTAGTAAAGGCTGTGTACTCAATCACAAATTTCTCAGTCAAAGCCTATGACGAAGTGTAGTCAGAAACGTCACTCTCAAGTGGTGTTCTTCATGACTGTCAACCTTTCTCCTTTTCAACTAATTTCTTCGCAAATATCTTTCTGCAGACTACACATTCTTTTTGATGGGGTTTTGTTCTCTGAACTAGATGGTTTGTTCGTGGAGCTTTCATCGTTCTTATGAATGACATCATCAGCACAAACTTCAGATAGAAGTGAAGCGTTCGAAAGTGGTTCACAGTTTTTCCTGTACACCTCGATGTTGATTGGTTCTTGTTGACATTACACTTTCTTCATCTAACCTTTAAAAGATTGATCGCTTAGGAGGAGGTTCTCGTATTAACTTTGAATATATTGATCACATAGCCATATTTTATAGAGACGCTGACAAAATAAAGTGTTCCGATCATATTGAGCAACAATGAAAGTAATTTTTGGAATGTTCTTCGTCCCTCCCAAATGATTTCATCATCAGAGCACAAAGGTTTTTCAAATATGCTAAAGATAATTCAAAAACATATACTTTGTAAAGCGATACTCATAAATTATGGCCAGATTGAAATACACTACGGGAAGATATGTCTGACAAGTTAAAGGATTCTTATTTCTTCATTTATGATACACAATAATATAGACATTGGGTGAAAACAATAGTTAGTCAGGGAGTTTGATCATGAATACAGTGGTCTTGAGTGCTGTTAGAGGTATGAGGGCAGTTATCACATCCCGGTCGCTCACACCGTCGAAGGGTTCTTCTGGAGGTACCTGAAAAGAAAGTTGGATTAGAGGTGGTCTTAGTGACGTGAGAGCGTGACCGCAGTACCCAAGGGACAACTGTTAGAGGTCGATCACACACGACCATTTTATGGGTAGTTTTTGTGTTAGCTCCGTACTTGTCGAGACCTTACTGCCGGAGACGGATATCCGTGGGATAAGGCGAGATGTGCATTTTTGGGTCGATCTTTTCTAATCCCACCCCTCTTTGTGGGAAGGCAGCATCGCTATCATGCTGGTTGTCTGGAGGAAACATCATACTGCTGTCACACCTCTGTACAGTCAGCAGTACGACTTCACCTTCGGACCTTGGGTTCGTTGCTTTTAGTCTTACCGCTCTTCAACCAACCTGTCTGACATGGTAGGACCTTGAGGAACGGTTGTTCCAGCCAGTGTAGCTCGGTTGCTTCGTTACGATAGGCAAGCCCGACCACCACGTCAAGGTAGCAACAACGGCCGGGGAAAACAATATCAATAAACTTAATGTATATACAGCTAGTGGCGCTCAAATAAAACAAATCTTTTGCTTATATAGTGCCATAATATACATTAGTTTGATTAGAATATTGCATAATATTGTAAATAAAATTGTGTATATTAATATTTCACAGTTGTATAAATTACAATAGTTTCCCGTGTAGGTGTTTATTATAATCTTTGTTCTCTTATGAATATTTTGTCGATCCATAGTAGATATTTTTATAAAATGCTGTCAGTAGTAACATGCTTGTACCAATCATTTTTAGGGTGTATCATTATGTTTTTATCTAATAAAATTTAATCAGTTAAGGCTACAAAAACTATCAAACATTACTAATAGATATTTTTTTCAGTGCCTCCAGGTGTTACTATGGTGGTCTAGCTTCAACTGACTCATGATCTCAACTATTAAAATATTTCTTTTTATATCCTTATGAGTAGAAAAATGTATTTCTAACGTTTCGTCACTTAGTGTAAGCCACTTTTTCAGGTTAAGTACATATCCACAAGTTTAAATAGTACAAGGAAAACAATACATTGAGTTATTTATTTACTCTGAAGAAGCGACTTACATTAAGTGGCGAAACGTCAGCAATACAATTTTTCTACTCATTGTGATATAACAAAAATAGATTTATTATTAACTCTCATTTTGTATTGTTTAATATTTCGTATAAGTTCCCTTCATCTCACAACATTCGTTGTACTGGCTTTACATGTAGTTGGTATAATGATTGATTTCAGCTATTTAGCACTTTGCACAATTTACCCCAGAATATTCAAGCTGCGTGATAAAAATGATACTATTCACTTACATAATTGAAATCTTGTCCAATCTGCGTCAAGTATGTCTCACTGATTCCAAGCAACTCCAGGTTTTATCTCTTCCTTTCTACAGCAATTTGGAAGACTCTCCCGGTCTCCCACAATGTACGGGCATTCCATGCACCTAAACTAGTTGTTTCTCTGATTGTCGGAAGGGGCATCAGTCTCGTGACTTCCAAAGGAACTCTGCTTTCGTCATGAGGCGTCATAAATCTTCTAAATGAAGACTTTCTAACTTCCAGAGCAGAGTTTAAATGGTTTGAGTTATTTTTTCTGGTCAACGTTTTTAGCGAGTTAGTTTTCTAAGGAATAGGGCCGCTAACCTTATGCTCAGCCCCCCTCGTTTATCCGGGCTTGGGAGCGGCAGTAACTCTTGAGGAGCTCCAGGCGGGGTTATGATTGAAATCTAACTAGTCTTTAATTATTCACCACCTGACATTATCCTCTGAGGAAGCTTATCTTCAAAATTGAACCTTCATCTCAAAATAGGAATATTATTTGTCTCATCAAACTTTGGAACACTGAATGAATTTTAATCATTAATCCGGAATTTATGTATCTTGGTTAACGATATCATCTACAATAAATAAAACTATTGTCTTTTGAATAATAAATTATGTACCCTTCCTGTTTACTTTCATTACAACACATAGATATTGAATATCCTGTACCGTGTTGCAAAATGAATCAAAATTATGCAATCAGTGATTCTACATGTCCAGGTCAATTTGATGATAATAACAGTAATTATAAAAATGGTTGTAGAGGTCCATTGAAAGAACTTTTCCTTAAATATATGGATTATGTAGCTTATGGATTAATTGGGGCATTTGTTTTATTGGTAAGTAAAGATAAATCACAATAATGCTTTTGAAATTAATTTCAAGTTTGTTATTGTCTGTCACTTCTAAACAATTATTAGGTGTTAGTTCTATACAAACAATAGAAACATGGATTATGAATTTGTTTCTTTTGGACATTTACTTACCCAGTGAATCTGAACTATGGTGAAACCAAGGACGTTATTGATTTCGGCAGCTTTAAACTACAGTTCTGAATTATTTGACTGTTCATAGTGACAATATCTGATTTCAATTCAATTCATTTACTTAACTGGTAGCTACGATCAAAATGTAAGGATAAAAGGACGAGCCAATCAGTGGCGTCTTAGAGATTTCAATGTTACGGTGTCAACTTCAGTGCTTAATGCTAACGTACGATCGATTCACAGGGAATTTTGTACAAAACGTGATAATTAAGTGGATATAACAAATAAAATGGCGGGGCTATAATTTGTTGACGAAACAATCAGGTATAAGACAATAGATCTTGAACTTAAACGCGAAAGCCTTTCATCCATTTGGCTAAATAAATTTCTGACATTATAGCTGATGTCAGTCTGTGATGAAAACCCCATATATAATTCCTAATTAAGGCAAATTACGACAATTATTGCGAACTGGATAATAAAAGCACCAGTAACACTGACTGCAGCCAGGTATTACAATATATACGAGTGTTTGGAGAGCGAACAAACTCCTACAAAGACTTGGTTATGTGCATCTTGTCGTTATCCACAAGTAGCATTTTGTGCACTCAAAAACCGGAGTGCACATAAACAATACTGAAGCTATGTGGTCGAGGCTGAAAGAGTTTCTGAGACTTTTTCATGGCTCCAGAGACTGACTATTCTGTAGCCGTGTGGATGATTTCCTCGACTTCATGCATTACGGTTTTAAAACCTCTGTACCTCTTTCTAACCTTGAAAAGTTTTTGAACCACGTATAAGAAGTGTATCCATTTTATTTCCTTGGTTTTGTATAACATCTGTTTACTCTATACTGACTGTTTACTGATTGGCTAATATCTCTCAAGGTCGCTCAAGATTTGTTCAAAGGTCGTCCATAAATAAGAGTCTCACCGAAATTCATATTGATTGGAAAATAGTTTGTTGGATAGAAACTGAATAAAATTTCTTAACGTTTCAAATTTACTTCTTGTTAGAGAAAAGTGTATTTAATTTTTAATAGCTCCTGAAAAACTGAAACAATCATTGTTTTTTTTAATTTTCGATTGATGTAAAAGACATTAGCATATATGTATTCTGTATGGATTGCTTCGATATGGCCTTAAGTTACAAGTATTATAAGCAAAGATGGATGATGGATAGACGTGGAATACAGAACGCACATGTATAACGCGATGGTGTTTGAAGCGAACGGTATTGGGTTGGAGTTTCAGAGTGAATATCAATTCTGGGTTGCAGGTTCATTCAACTGACGAGTCTCAAATAGGATGAGACGCGCATCCTGTATTCCAATAGTAGCCACCATCCATCTTTGTTTATGAAACAATTATATTATCCATAATAATCTTTTTTTTGAGAATTTAAGCGGTATTTATATGTATTCTAAGTATGGTACAAATGGTAATCAGTAAGCTTTAGGACATCTGCACTTGTGTAGGTTGTTAGTATTGCAAGGTTTATGAATATTTGAACAAAATAATACTAATGAAACCTAAACTATCTGCAATGTTGCTTAACCTGAATTACAACATATATATTCTAAATAAGTTTCACTATTACACCAGTCATAGAGTTTTATACAGAATTCTGATATAAATATTTTTTTAACTCGTCAGATATGAGTAGGATACTGGTTGAATTGCATTTGCATCCGTCTATAGTTGTTCAACGATTGAACCTTGCATTTACCGATGTTGGCTTTCATATTGAAGAACTACTACATAGATTTTGTGTTAAACATTCTTTCTCTACTCGTTACGTAGTAAATTTATTTCAAAGATAGGTATAGAAGTTTGTATTGATTAACGGGAATGTACAAATATTCATGCTAATTAATGAATGAATATGATTCGGAAATGTACTCATTAATTATTTTAAAAATAACTGATATCAGCAAAGATGGATAGTGGTTGACAGTGGAATCTGGGACGCCAGTTTCGTCCTAATCGGGACTCATCAGCTGGATGTACTTGTATCGCAGAGTTATTGTTAACTCCGGGACTCGAACCCGGTACCGGTCGCCTCCAACGTTATGACGTTATGCACTTAGCGCATCCTGGACTTCACTGCTTGTCATTATCCATTACTGCACATATTCCAATAAGAGACTGATCAATCGCAGTTCTAAACATTAATGGGAAGATTCAAGTAAAACAACACGAAGTGAATTTAAATAACTGTCATCGTTTTCTATCTATTTTGAAGATAAACTCTATAATTTATGAAATGTTTTAAAGTATAGATGGAACTCAGCATTATTGAGAATCCTAGAAGTTATAGATCAACACTTTCATTCATTAACTAATTATATGTTAAATATAAGTATAATTAACAATCTTGAAGATGACTACCTACTTAAATTGTTTGTATAATTTGAAGATGTATTTTCATCTTGAACTAATAACAACATGAAATCATTGCTTCTATGAAGTTCGAAGCTACAAACAAACAATTATCTTACATTGTCTATATTTGCAGTATGATATCTCCCCATACTAATCCATGATCATCTATATTCCAGTATCATATTTTTTCCCAATGATCCATTCAAATTAGATTAAAATATCAAACCTTTGTTCTTTATTCATGTTCTTTTTTTTCTTTTTTTCCAGTTGCTCGTTGTTCTATTCACATTTTTAACCATTTGTATTGATGTTATCTGAATAAACAAACAAACTAAACCGACAAAAAAACAAAACTAAATGAAATGGAATTCAATATTCAATTGATTGTTTAATAAATCATTAAAACATAATTAATTGTTTGTCTATACTCGGTTAAGAATTAAATACTCAAATGAAATGATCACTTTTTGTTGGACTTCGCCTTTATAAAACAAAATAAAAGTTAATGCCTTTGCATAGTTGATGTATACATCTATGCTTTTATGAATGTATGTCTGTATGTATGTATGTATGTGTGTGTGTATGTATGCATGTAGTTGACAGGTTCACTTTTCACATTTCCAATCTCTTCATAAGACATTTTTTATAACTATTATTATTATTATTCATTGTATCACTGCTGTTAGTATCATCATCATCATCATCATTCCTATTATAATGTTAAATAATCAACCATATTTCATAGAATTGAACTGATATGGTGATGATGATGATCATCATCATCAATCTTGTTTATTACTTTTCTTTTAATCTTTCTTTCCACAAATTCATATTATCATTAGTTATTGTACTTTGATTATGTTTAATTACAATGAATGTAATTTATATATAATAATAATTATTATTATTGTTATACAATTTCATTCAACTCTTACTAATAGTGTTGTTGTATGATGAAATACAATAATAATGTAATAAGGTGGTTACTTGTACTCAAATAAATACATTCTCTTTCCCTCTTATGATTATTATTTGAATAAATAAGTCTTTATGGTGTCGGGGATTTGAAAACAAACAAAAAAAGAAGCTTATTTCTAAACATTTATGTTAGTACTTGATAAATAAATAGACTATTGAATTTGAAGTGATTTCGTTTTTTTCTCTTGTGAATAGATTTCTAAGACGTTGGAATATAACTAAACAATGAAATCCAGAATAGGTATTTCTTCCTATTTGAGACTTATTAAATGAATATTCTTGAATATTAGTAGTGATATTCACAATGAGATTATAATACAGTACCGATTACTTTAAATTCTAACTTATTAACCAATAAGTTAATGAGTTCAAATAACTTTTTGAATGATAATTCCCTATAATAATGTAGATTATTCATTGATAGTGAAAGAAAGAATCAACCAATTGTTTTGTAATTTTTTCCAGTTATACACAGCCATTGAATTCATGACCGTTGTTGCTACCTTGACGTGGTGGTCGGGCTTGCCTATCGTAACGAAGCAACCGAGCTACACTGGCTGGAACAACCGTTCCTCAAGGTCCTACCATGTCAGACAGGTTGGTTGAAGAGCGGTAAGACTAAAAGCAACGAACCCAAGGTCCGAAGGTGAAGTCGTACTGCTGACTGTACAGAGGTGTGACAGCAGTATGATGTTTCCTCCAGACAACCAGCATGATAGCGATGCTGCCTTCCCACAAAGAGGGGTGGGATTAGAAAAGATCGACCCAAAAATGCACATCTCGCCTTATCCCACGGATATCCGTCTCCGGCAGTAAGGTCTCGACAAGTACGGAGCTAACACAAAAACTACCCATAAAATGGTCGTGTGTGATCGACCTCTAACAGTTGTCCCTTGGGTACTGCGGTCACGCTCTCACGTCACTAAGACCACCTCTAATCCAACTTTCTTTTCAGGTACCTCCAGAAGAACCCTTCGACGGTGTGAGCGACCGGGATGTGATAACTGCCCTCATACCTCTAACAGCACTCAAGACTGACTGATAGCATTGAATTAAAGCATTTAATTAATTTAGGGCAGGATGATCCTATTTAAACAGTGAATCAAGATCCAGCGACTCATATTTTCTAACTTTTTGATAAGACATAATCGTATTATGATGTCTAGTGTATCTAATTGATTTACTTTCAATTAGTTTGGATCCAAAAGTCACAGTTTCCTACTAGAATTTCAAGGAATCTATATAAAAAATAATTACTAAGGAATGAGCTGTTGATTTCCTAGGTGGTTAACTAAATGTTCATCGATGAACATTAATCAGTTAGTTCTTCGAATCTTCTCATAGATGTTTAGACTGCAATTAACCAGTCGTCCTAATTTGGACTCATCACCTGGATGTGCCTACATCCCTAAGTTCATATTCAGCCCAGCTGATGAGTCCCAATTAGGTCAAAACGCGTGTTCTACATTACACTGAAAGCCATCATCCACCTCCATTTGAAAAGTTATCCTGACTGTTTAAGTGTTTGAACAAACCAACTAGCCAAAATGATGAATTACTTTCCTTCAGATCAAACCTCGACTCCCAATCACATAGATCATACAAGACAGAACTTAGCGTATACATGTATAAGCTGGTATAAATAATGAATAATAATAGCGTGGTGACGAGTTACTTTTCAGTTGAGATTTGAATAGTAAGTGAAAATAAAAATTAAAAAAATACCATTAACGACAGTGAGATAAAGTTTGTAGTTGGGTTTGGTTATTTCTTATGTACAAAGCGTAAATTACGGAGAACATTACTTTGAAAAAACCAAGTGGTTTCATCGTTGATATAGAAGAAACGTTAGGTTATTAGGCAAAATGGACAGTTTCTCAGATCACTGGGTAAGTAATAGTGAGGTTAGACGCAGGGTATTAGGGAGAGATAGTAAATCAGTTGATGAGGTTGTGGATATTCATTGACTAAGAAGGTTGGGCCGTGTCGCGTATGCCTGAACAGCGATCACCATGACGTGCAATGCTGATTAGTGTTGGGAAAAGATAGAGGTTAGGGGCGGGCAAACGAAAACATGGCATTAGTCCATAGTCACTAACTTCTGGTCTGAGCGATATTGGCAGATGCAAACTACTTGGTTGGGGTCCGTGCGGCTATCCTAACCAGTGGTTGGAGACTCTTGGTGATATGACTCTGAATCCATCACAATGGCGTAGATGTGTACTCTTTGCCTTCCCTTAAACTATGAGATTAAAATTACTTTTTACCTTTCTATCTACGAACTAATTCTTTCTTCCTGTACTATGTCTTTATATGCGATTTTCGCTTTATATATTACTACCATTGAAGTAACTACTTCTATGAATTTGGTGTTCACCTTGTTGTGCTAATGGGATGTTGTAACTTGGATCGATGTGTATGTATGCCTGGTACTACGTTGTAGATGACTGACTAAACACAATGAATGAAAACCTAAACTGAAAAATAATCTTCATTTATTCGACTGTACCAGAATGTCACCAGTGAACTTAACGAAAATACAATCAAACATTTTATGTCTATCAGCACTGATGCCCACGATATCTATGATTTGTTTATTCTTTAATTATCTAATCAATCCGCTTTATTCTATGAAGCTTTTATTCTGTCACTCATTAATATCAATCTACTAGGGTATAAAGCATATGATTACTATCAAGCCTGATATTATTCAGACTACGGTAGTCGAACATTTCGTTTTCTAATCCAATGAATGAAAGATTAGTGCTTCCATCATATTCAATAATATACACTTGGGTCGTCGTTATTTTCTTTTTCTGAAAAAAAAAACGACCATCACACTAATCACTGTGACTTAGAATCACGATGTCTACATCACACTCGATACGGTTAACCCAGATTGACAATGAACTAGTAATTACTTGAATAATGGAGGGAGTAGGAAATAACAAAAGAATTAACATTTATTATTCTATAATGTATATGTTTATTATTTTTTCCAAATATTTATAGAATGCAATAAAATGGTCAGGAGAATGAATGTATAATTCCCTTTTATTGGGATATATGAAAGTATTACATGTGATAATGATTATTTGTCATTATCATCATCAGCATTGTTACTTATTATGGGCATATTAATTTGAAAATACGGTGCTCAAAGAAAATGAGAATATTTGGAGTCGTGAAGAAAGAAGGAAAAAAAGTATGTAAATATATTCATAGCGCGATGAGTGTAAGTACAACACCAAATTAAACGATACATACAAGTAATAATGATAGTAGCAATTGTAATTAACGTCTATAGTAATAATAATAATAATACATAAATTAATGCATTATGTACTGTACAAAAATGTATTACTATTATCATGAGTAGTAGTATAAATTTATGTACTGGCAATTATAACGACCAGTACTATTCTATTAGGCAACACTGATTATTAAAGCACAGCCCACAAGGAACAAAGAAGTCAAGATGAACGTAGATAATAATAATAATAATAATAATAATAATAATAATAATAATAATTGTTATTATTATTATCATTATTATTGCTACGATTATTTAGTAAACCATTACAATGAAAGAAGACTCTAATGGTCCTCCCCTCGACAAAAAGAAAGTAGTAGTGGTTGGCACATAAGGAGGAAAGTAAATAAAAACACATCGTATTCAGAAATGCAGTTTGAAAGAAAAAAAGCAACCTGAAAGATACACACAAATGACAATGCATTTTACAGCTGCCAACTGAGAGGTGGTTATTGTAGGTCAGTTGTGTTTGCCTTGGCTATCTTGTTTGTTTTAGCAAAGACAATGTGAATGAGAGCTAGATTTCTTTGGGGGGGATGTTCACAGTTGGTTTGACATGTGTAAACATTAGGCAAAGTACATGACTCTTAAGGTTTCCGGATGAACTGTAACAGCCCTCATCATAGCCGTAGGTGTACGTTCATCTGAATTGCCTGATTTTTGACTTCCTTCACCACTAAAAAATAAAATCGAAAAGTTGTTGTAATTGGCATTATAATACAAAATACTAACGAAAATGATCTCAAACAATAAACAAATGTAAATAGTTACATATTTATCACATACTTACAATAACTATGACATAATAATAGGAAAGAGTGGGGAGGGGAGAACAGACCTGTATAAAACTACGGCATACACTCTATGACATTATTGTTGCCTAGATTAATATGATATTATGAACCGGGAAAAAATTTGTTATTTATATACTTATTAAATAAGTACGTTAAGCAGATTGTACAATAGTAAAGGAAAATAAGAAACAATTGACATTACTGGAGGACTACCGATATATAATTTAGTTGGATTATTGAGTGAAACATAATAATAAAGTTTTGTCAACTTTAAAGTGAACCATGTAGGGGTTATGGAGAGAAGTGATATTCATATTCTAAAAGTGTTTGACTTTGAATTCGTGATATATTTGAAAATAAATTGATAAGATATTAATACTCAATAATGATCTGTAGGCTGAAGACCGTTGTCAACCACACATAACCTCTCAGTAATTTAATCGATTATGTCTAACTTCCTGATTATGAAAAATCACTGTTTTGACAGGAATAAGTGTTATGATAGCATCCGAAAAGGTCTCTTCATTTATCCATTAACACAAGGAGAATAAGTGAGATATTTTGATCAGTATAGCCCGTAATTTAGTGACCTGATAAGGAGTTTAAGTATTAGATAATAATAATCTCGATGATAGTAAAATATCTGTCTTGAATGTACATAGAAATGGAGTGTGTTGTTTCTATCTTTAGTTCCTATTATACAGTATGACTGATGAAAATAGATATCTACAAAAAAACAATTAATGGCTGAGATGTGGCAGAACCACACATTGTAAAATGTTTATGCATTGGATTGAGTTTTAGGCGGAAAATCATTTTTGATGATAATGAGAATGAACATTTGTAGCCCCCGAATCCTCTGGTACGGCCGAGAGTGGGGAGAGTCAGCTTTTCTCTCTCGAAAGGCTCTCACATGGCCACGTGCATACAACCACTGTCAGGAAAGTCCTACTCACTGCCTTTCGCGACGAGGGTGCTGTATATGAAATTGAGAGGACGGAAAGCGAATATCCGGTGCTTCAACCGGTCTGGTGGTGAAGAGACAATCGAGCTAAGACACATGCATTTTTAAGGCTTTATCAATTCAACAGATCGGTTGGGTAATGGTAAGACTAAAAACAGACTAAACTCAAGGTCTGAGGATGAAGTCGTACTGTCGACTATGTTGGAGTACGGCGGTAGTAAAGCTTATTTCATAAATAGCAAGCAATTCCAGCGACGACCTTTTACTGAAGATGAAAAAAATTCAAAAATATCAATCCCGATAGTAACGTACTCCTTATTAACCCTAAAACAGAACTCCAGTTAATACTGAATAGATAAACTGTCATGACAGAATTTATGTTGCTCCAAGCTGATCACCACGAACAGTGGTATTAAGAGATTTCACAAAATAAAAAAGCAATTAAACAGTTTTATATCAGGAAATAATGTAACCACAGAGATTAAACATAACGAATCAAATCAATAAAAAAAATCATAATGAAATCAGATCATTTTTAAACTAACCTATCTATTTCTTTTTCAACTAAATGATATCGTGCTCGAAATGCAACTAAATGTGCATAATAGGCTGGAGCAGGAATTGACACAGAACGAGTACAACGTACATATGTATGACATAATTGATAAGTTAAATTTTGTATATCATCAGCACTAAATCTATTTACCAAGAAAAAAGAAGAAACAGGAAAATGAAAGATAATAATAACAATAATATAAAGATTATCAATAAATCTGTATATAACTTAAGCAAATACCACATGTGTATTAACAGCTGTATAAAATGAACCTGAAAGTAGGACAAAAACTAGCATGCTGAAAAAACGACAATTTATACAGAAAGAAAACTGTTTTAATCGTGGCAGAAATGAAGGACAACTCTCGTGGTTTTTGGATTGAAAAGAAAATAGGAAGTTAAATTTACAATACAACCAGTGAGTGGTTCTTTGGACATTTAACATAGTCAGTAATTATATATGTTATGAGGTCTAACAAGTGTAACAAGTGATAATACACCTGACCCATATCAGTTTCAATTGTTCACAGAAGTCAAATTTGCGAACTATCTCATCGTCATATAATTTTACCAACCTAAAATGATTTGGTTTAATAGTGTTCATTAGTCATCACTCTGACCACTAAACAATGACCGGTAAACATAAGACATTGGATACTTCGAATTTTTTTCATCAACACAACAGGTCAACGATCGTTCTACCTTTTCATCATTCTAGTAACCTTTTTTAACATCAATGAAACGCTCAACGGATTTTAACATTCCATGAAATTTCAGAATTTAACGATGCCGATTATTAACAGATCTAGCAGATCAGCTCACTAATTCGTGCATTGATGATGAAAGAAAATCAATCTTTCTTTTAAATTATTTATAATTCAGATCATTAAATGAACTGGGAAAAATAGTAAACTAACCTATTATCGTCCCATAATACATGATAATGACTAGGTCGTGAAGTGCCTTGAATGCCTGCATGACTACACAAATAGAAATCGAATTCCGTTGGGTGTGTAATAACTTGATCAACTGTTGTTCCAGCAGGTATATTCCCAGATTTACCCATCTGATCTTTTTTGTCAGCACAAAATAGACGTGTATGATGCCGCTTTTGCACAACAATGAAAGTAATACCAGGTTGATAGCCTAATTCTAATTTGACACATGCTTCACGGATAGCACGGAGTTCATGATTTAAAACCTAAGAGAAACAGAAGTTGTTCAATGGTATAAAATAAGATAATAGATGGATGAGTAAAACTTGACTGCAAACTAAGATACATTCTAGATAAATTATTACAAATAAATAATGACGAATCAACATATTTGCATACAACCCATCATGTGCAAAACTACTGTTTCTTTGGTTCCTAACAGTTATCAACCCATAACTGTTATATCCGAGCGAAGATTAAATCACGGGTAACTTCTGAGACATTAATTGACTAATATTATGTATACATTCTTATGGTGTAACTATTCAATAATTAGATCATGTATATTTATATTCCTCCTATTATAAGCTTTATTTTGACCTATAATTTATTGTTGTAAGATTCACGATTCTTAAGTTATGTTCAGTTTATTGACTACTGCCTTCCACGTTCACAGCCACATTTGGCCAAATATTGTACAAATGTTATTCTCTATTTTATGGTACGTTGTGGTCTGTCTGGTTGACATACAAACCGAGTATGTTTGAAATAAATGATTCATATTGCAGAAGCTGGTGTTTGTGTTCTGGACTCAAGTGGACGGGCTAGGCAGACATAGGATCAAATAAGACGCTAGGGTGCTCATACCGGTCGGACGTCATTGGTTTGGTACAGTGCGGAGATTGTATAAGTCGCATTTCGATTGGCGGATAAGTCACGTGATAAAAAGCAGGACATAAAATCATAACAATAACAAATTATCCAGTAGTTTGAAAGAAGACATTTTCAGGACTCATGACATTTGATTAAATTACCAGCTGCTTTCCTTTTCCATAGTTCCCTGCTGAACATAATGCTTTCTTTAATAGGATGAATTCTGTATGCTAGACGAATCTGAATAAACAAATAAACTGCTATGGGAATTCGTTGACCAGAGTGTATACAGTCTTTAATTCGTTGATAATGGAAGTTAGGACAGTTCAAATATTTACTGAGTTACATCTTGAAGAAACTTAATTTGATATAACCAGAAACCCAAAGCATCATCAGGTAGAAATAATATTAAAAAATGGGTGGATCTTTAAAACCTAATATAAGAAAGTTGTAAAACTTAGGATCGGGATAAATGTATGTCAAAAAACATTCTGAGATGAAAAGTATAAAAATAGATGAAGCACTACTCTCAAGCCCTTCAGGATTAATAAAAGATATGATAGAAGTGCCATTAAACAACCCATTCAGGTTCAAATACTAAGTAGCTATGTGATATACCATGTCAGGAGCATATGTAGTTACTGATGTCCAGTGGCTATACATTTACGAGACTAAAGTATAACCTTCAATGTCGGTACAGTAGCCGATTCGAATTAAAATATAGGTATAAATTTACAATCATATCCTAGGTTATCGAAAAAAAGAGTAATACAACGTGAATAGAAGCTTACATTTAAAAATTGACCTTCACCAACACCGTCTCGATAGTAAATAATACGAGTTGGTTTGAAACGAGTAGCTCGATAGAACTGCAGTAACAAATCTCTAACCATTGGATATAAATCATGTATAATTTCTTGACGATGCGATTGAACACGTACAGTAGCTGAATAACGACTTGGATGTGCATCCATGCTAGCAACAACGGCAGCAATACTTGGTTTAGTTTTATCACCAGCTGGAGGGTGTGTAACATCTGCACCAAGAAAGATAACTGGTTCACGGAAAACAGCAGGTCGGACGCTTGGAACGATAATAGAATTGATACCGCCTAATTTAACATTGATTTTAAGACAAAGATTAGAGAGTGTTTGAGGTGATGTTTTATTTACATTTTTTGACTGAACACATTGTGTTGCAAGACCAAACATTATATCGCCAACGCGCTTGACCTCAGCTGAAATAAAAGAATACATAAAACATCGTAATTGATCTACCAATGTGAATCTTTACAAAAAAGTGAAATGATATGACTGTATCGCTAGGATATTCTGCCATTTTTCGTGAGAAATGACAAATGTAAGACTAAATTTTAAAGTTATTTTCGATAAAACCGGCAAGGAGGAATCTACAACGACCACGTTCTACGATCTTCATTTTCATCTTAATGTTGTTTAGTAAGTAATTCAGGTTTACATAATGATGGTTGAATATTCTGTAAATGATAGAATCATGGTTTCCCTAATATATAATATTTACTCAATAGTTAATGTATCGGTCTCTCAACATATATTCGGTAGAAATATGGCAGTGAGTTTCGTGAGTAAATTATCCATTTAGCCTCTTTAGCATAACACAGGTCAGTTACGACATTACCGCCCAATTTCTCTCCTTAAAGTGTTTACACATTATTTTGTGCGAAATATCTTTTAGTGCTGTGTGCATAAATGTGATGGGTTGTGCATTAAAAAAACTAATGCGCGAGTAGAAGTATAATAGTTGTCTAATTTCAGGATAAAATACTAACTTTATCAATTAATGACCGGAATAGTTGTATAGAGAATAATAAGACTGTAATTGTAAAACTATACTGACGGCCTTGAGTGATTAATCAAACTTAGGTTTTTTCGATGCGCGAATTTAAAACGCTAATGCGGATATTTCCCTCTTGGAACTCTTGATTTTCATTATAGCTCGTGTTTCCAAAAAATTGGATGATCATCTTCTTGTTGAATGAAGAGCTAGGGTCAAGAAAATTTAGGAGTTAAGTTTTAAAAGATATAAAGCTAGGAATTATGGTCTAGCTGGATTATATGACTGTAATTTCCAACCTAAATGATAGGTACTTGGTACCACTAGATCTATTCATGGAGTTAAAACTCCGAATCCTCTGTAATTTAGTTATTTTTGTGGAAGCTGCATTCTGACTAAATATTTTTCGTTAATCGCTTAATGTCGTCAGCATAGTGTAGTTTTACCACTGAGATTTCAATTCTCGCTTAAGGTATCTTTTTAATTCATAACTCTGAAGTGATGTACCTGATAGCCATAAATAACTGATACTCGTCTCAAAGCTAGAATTTTCGCCTATTTTTATCAGTGATTTGACGAGCCTACAGAGGATACTCAGTCAATTATAAATACAATCTTCATTGACATTCGCTAGAGATCATATCGACACCATACTTCATCTTTTATTTTATTTTTCACAATCGTATTTCTTTTTCTACAAAACATTCAATATTACTTAGCCAGTAAAAATAAGTAACATAAGAATAATCAATTTAAAAGTGAATTAAAACGAGAGAAAAAACAAACCGTAAACAGGGGTTTTCCCAGGAAGAACAACTACAATCAACTGTAAACCAGCATGAGTATTTTTCAAATATCGAAACATTGGTTCAACTTGATCTTGACCAGTAGCATATTTACAAAAACAAGGTTGTCCTAAAATAGGCATGCCAGCATCATTGGAAATTTTCTGAAGTTGTAGAGTAAACAGTCTAAGCATACAAAGTGTAAGAAAACAAAATGGAACAAGGCAAAAATCAGCTGAATAATCAAATATCTTGAAAAAAAGGTCATTAGTGAAAAGTGTAATTGTATTTACAAGTATTATAGTAAATAATTGACATATTCACCAGATACTTGGATATGAACCACACTCTAAGTGAAAGGCTAATAATACTACCCGGTTCCTTATACTGATTTAAGCAGAGAAAGATCCAAACCACGAACTTAATGGCAAAAAGTTAAACACCTTAACTACGATATCTTTTTATTCGCAGTCAAACCTACACATAGACTATTATATTATTCTATAGTTATAAATCGTGTTGAACGAAATTCATCAATCAGACTACATGACTTCTACGCGATGTAGTAACAGTAGTTAGATCGATCAATAAATTTCGCTCAAAAAGGGGAAAGCATTAAGTAGTTGCTTAGATAGCAATTTGTGTATTGGTTTATATAACAGAAGAATATCCTTTCAATCTAGCATTCACCAAAGCTAAATTTTCGCAAAAAATTAATAAATATGGGGGTAACTATTCCTGTCATACGTACAAAATAGCATTGTGAAAACTAAAGAAGTAGAACCTAATAACAACTGTCATACTAAGTAGAAAATATCACAGATTCATATTACAAAGATGATAGAAAATCTAGACTAACAAATCAACACACTGCAGTTATTAATTTCATTAGAATAAATCTTAGGTTAGACTTTAAAAAGTTTTGTAAACTGATTGACCAAAATTACAGATTTACACATCGCTTAACGAAATAAGCCAGTAGTGTTTAATCGTTAGACGCATTCTACAAAAAATTAAATAATTGGTCGCTTTGATAAGCTACACAGGATTTAATGAAGACAGTCTTGTCAGGGAATATTTAATTAATATATCATCAAATAATGAATACATATTTATGTATATAAATTATTTTTAAGTGATACAAATCAATAACCAACCTGAGTGATTCTTCACGAACGATACGCTGTGGTGCAAAACAAGCGATTGCCCAAACTTTTATTTCAATGCCTGAAAAGAATTGTTTACCTCGCATATCCCATACACCAAGCTGTGGAGAAGCTTGGGCTTTAGTACGTCCACCATACTGAATCTTTGGCGCAGGAATGACTCGACCTTGGATTTCAGCCATACGTGTGTTAACATTAATGCCGAACATTTGTAAATGCGGATCAGCATTGAAATTAGCTCGCTTCACCTATTTTTATTTAAAGAATAAATTGATTAAAGAGAAGAGAAAGGAAAGACGTGCCAAAAGTACGTCCTAAACTAGAAGACAGTATAAAACATCCCAAGTTTAACATGTCCAACGCAAAACTAAGAACCACGGAATAATAGCAAAACACTACTTATTATATATGAGTAGCATGAGGACATTATGCATCATATAGTAAAGGTTATCTGTAAAGTTCATACAAGTATCGGGTTACAATACTTAACCCAACTAGTTCATTTTCCACGAGTGAATAAAATACTTTAAGGTAACGATTAGTTAAGATTTAAAAACCTCGAGATATAGTATGACGTAAATATAACGCATCAATACATTGTTTCTGTCTCTACCTGGCTCAAGTTGTTCTCAACGTTAACAATCTTCATTACGTCATATCTAAAAATTTAAGTTATTTTTCTATTCACTTTATGGCTGAGTATTGGAATTTCATTTCATTTCAAGAGTCTAGAGTCATATGCAACTGTCTATGGTAAAATTTACCATATAGCCAAGAACACAGTATGAAGTACACAAAAACAAAGCAAAAGTTAGGACTTGAACTAAAATGGTAATTACACACTAGTATATCATACTCGCCCATTAAATGAACGGGAAAATGGCAGAGTGTTAAATGTAATGTATTTATGAAACATTAAAAACGTTGTGAACAACTTCAATCCTATTGATTCCTTTGCTGAACGTTATAGGTAAAAACAAAGACAATGCAATTCATAGAAGATTCACAGTTGAAAAGCACGGACAAAATGGTTATTCATAATTTTTTGATATTTTCAACAGTTATTTGAATGAAGAGAATTAACTTAAAACTGAACACTTTCGACAGTCAAATAATGATTTTTTACAGGGATTCAATACTATTCACTTGATAACTTCACAGATTAGGTCTGCATGTTGGTTTGAACATGATATGTTGGGTAAAGCAAAACAGACAATAGATTGCCTCAATCCTATACAGCAGGTAAATGAAAATTAAGTGTACATAAACTAAATTGGACGACAAACGATAATATGTATTCACTACTTTAACAGAAATAATAAAAAATTGTACTTCGTCAATTTGCCAAAATACCAAATATAAATATCTGCGTATATTCGTGTAAACAAATGGATACCTACAAATGGATAATTACATTTTCCTTATTTAAAAAAAGACAAACCATGAGGATAAAGAATAACGGACAAAAAAAGAATAGTTAAAATTGAATAGGCTTACAAGATTATTGATTTCTTTTTCGCGATCGGGGGCTGAACGAGCTGTAGCCTTAATCATAGTAGATGTCTGCATATCAGTTAGCTTTTTAATACATCTCTGACCTGCTACCATGTTACAAACCTCTAATGGTAAATACGTGTGCTTTTGTTCCTGACCAACTTGAAGACATGGCAAATGAGGGTAGCTATAAATTTCAGAAGGAAATTGAGAAAACAAAATTACCTTACAAGTAGTAAAACAAAGTAATAAGAAGTTAATAATATGTAGTGACACATTGACATGTGATATAACTTACGAAATACAGGATTTTTGTACTCCGTTTTGAACTGCACTAACTGCGTGGAAGGTGATCTTATTATTAGATTATCCAGACCAAAATGTAGATGCGGCGTTTAGCCTTTCAATCCATTTGTTGAATGGTCAATGTTTTAACTATTAAGTCAATGCTCCAAACAGTAATATGTAACTGTGAGTGGTAACTTATTGGTTGAACCAATCAACTTACAGTCATTAAATACCAAGCTCAAACTTTGTCCTACTTGGTTTGATTTAGATAGTTGAATTATAACTAACAATTAAACAAATATGTGGTTTAAAGCTAAGTGAACCAGAGATATTTTTGATTATTGAGTCCCATTTAGAAAAACTGATATCGCCTAACACTTATTTACTTTTAGTCTCACCTTAGTAACAAATTTCTCAAATTTAAGATGTGAAATAGGAATAAATTGTTTATTTACAGATCAAGGATTGCCATCAACTGACAGCAGAGGGTTTATAACCTAATTTGTAGATCCTAATATTCAGTGTTTAAAGTTGTAATCTTGCAATTTTACAGTTCTTAACAATATAAGAACTGAAGATTTGTCAATATCCCATTATATCAAACGACCACCATTCATGCAACTTCTCTTTAAGAAACCGGTTTAGTTCTATATTACATGTAGAAGAATTATTCCACATTGAAAATCGATATATTATTTTGAATTTATAATTATTCCTTGTTGATGAAGTGATAAATCTGTCTGAACGCTTGAATTGGTTTCTTAAGCATTTCTAAACAACCTGAACACAGGAGAAAAGGAATGAAGCGTGAAAAGAACGCTTTACTCCGAGGTTAGTTTATGTACGAGTAACAGGATAAATAACCATCCAATCAGAAACGTGACCCTTCACTTTCTAAATGTTTCTGAGAAATTTCTGTTAAACGCTGATTAGATAAAATGTTTTCCAATGTTTGCATGGCCCCTCTGGACATTTTTGAGAAATACTTTGGATATCCCCGCAGCATAAAGATGCTGAGAAGCAACTTTCTAAATATCTAGCAGTTAGAATAAGTTGTGTTAAACTCATAGTTGTTTTTTCATTGAACATGACATAATTATTTGTAACAGCTTTAAAAAAAGATATCTGTAACTGAAAACAGTAGACAAACAACGAACAAACATTCAAGCACTGGAAAATAACATCTAGTTACAAATGCAATACAATCTAATAAAAATATAAATTAAATAATAATATTCCTCACTCTAGGCGTATATTATAACGTTCTTGAAAGTATTTAGCAACAGTACATTCAACTGTAGCACCAGTGTCCAATTGTAAAGGGAATGATTGAGTTTGAGAAGGTCGTCGTGTCACATTACACACACGATATTTACGTCGCATTGTACCACAATGAGTGATCTCAACTTTTAAACCTTAATTCGAAGGAAAAAAATTACGAGAAATTGAATTATACAATTCTATAAATACTGGAAATAGTATACACTTGAAATTGTTTGTAGCTAATTTGCCTTTCATTTTTATCTATATGATTACATATTCGATTCATGTGGGTTCTCAATAGTTAGATGACAAATTTTAACCTAATTTGTGAAGTGTATTCTGGGTAATAGTCAGGTAGGAGTACCAAATATCAACGATTCCTTGTTATTTTTAAACAAAATTACACAAAACCGAATATGAATACAAAAATGATTTCTACATTTGGTCAATTTGTCTAAGCCGTCTAAGGCATAAATCAGTAGTTCGTCTATCTATCAAGAGATGAGTATACTGAACACTGATCTGCTCTGTATTACCATATAGTTGTAAAACATCTAGTTTGTTAAAATTTGATTACATGTGTCTTCGAAGCATTACCATTTTACAATGAAACCATTAAGTGAGCACTGTTAAGGAGTAAATATAAAGAATAAGGGCGACCTAGGGCGAACAACATGTTGCCTATCAGATGTAGATGATCAGTCTTAATAACAAAATCAACATTAGACAGTTAAGATTATGGTTAGAATTTAGGCTTTAGGATTAAAATAGTCTTCATGGAATATGAATACAATATTGAAGCTCAAATAGAAATGAGAAACTGGTTGAAGAGGACAGAAACCTTCAACCTTTAAGTTGGTTTGGTTATGCTACACACTCTGCGTGATTATCGTAACCAATGGTTAGAGACTTTGAATGACATGGTTTAAAATCGTTTGCAATGGCGCAGGTGCATCCATTCTTTGTCTTACCTGAAATTCTGGATTCTCATAACTATTCACTTTAATCTCTTCCTTCTCTATTTAGAAGGATGCTTTGATTATTCTGGATCCACGAGATTTCTATCCTATAGGTGCTTTTCGTGCTTCTTTGGACAGCATCAGTGCAGTTCCTTGTATGCAAAGCAATTCCTTCACGATCAGAGTACAAAAGCATCTCTCCCGAAGTTTATCTTTTCTATACAGCTTGAGTCCAATGTGTTTCACATATTCTGAGAACCGCCAATTCGTACCAAGGTGGCCTGCTTGAATATTTGGGCTACCTGTCCCTGCTATCTGGATATTTCAACAAGTTATCCGTTTTCCTGTTTGTCGCGTAACCTATTCAAGTGCGTTTGTGAAAGGTTTACGATACTTCGCTGTACAAGTTACAAAAGAGCCCTATCAGAGAGATCGAGGTTGCTGGAAATATACATCGGAAAGAACATACATTAATCAGATGTCGATTCCTGAACTGCTAACATCTAACTGGCGACCAGTCAATATTTATCGCAAGGGTTGATCAAGAAATAAGAAAAGGAAACTTGTTGAAATACTATGTGCCGGGAATTCTATATTGTACCAAAAATATAGTATTGAATAAAGCCACTAATAATAATAATAATAATAATAATAATAATAATAATAATAATAATAATAATAATAATAATAATCTCAGTATCTATTCAATTGGTCCTCCTGGTCTCCCACATTGTCCGGATATTCCATATACCTGTATTAATAGTTGCTCTGGTTGTTAGAGCAACGGTATCGTGATTTCCGAAGAATTTAGGCTTTTACCATGAGGCGCCACAACTCTCTTAAATAAAGATCTACCAACTCCCAGGGCATAGTTTAAATGGATTACATGATTTTCTCCGGTGAACGTTTTTTAGCAAGGTTGTTTTTTACAGGATGGGGTCGCTAACCCTAAGCCCAACCCGGGCTTGGAACAGGCAGGGCTACATGTGGAGTAAAATAATATATAGAACAAAAATAATAAGACTACCTTTAATTTCTTTCGTAAATTTCACTCGCTGACTATCAGTTAATGGTCGACGTTGTTCATTCTTATCCGATATATCTAATACTTCGCACATAAAATCAATAACAGATTGTGCTTTGTAGAATGCAGTCGCAGATACTACAATTTAGGAGGGAAAAAACGATTCAGTAAATTTTATCCAGTTCACAGAGGAGAAACAATATTAATGATAATAATCATCAAAATATTACTATATTTGAAAACAGCTGGATTTGATCAAATTTTTCTGTAACTTCATTTTTATCGTACGTGAACTATGGACAATGAAATAGACAAATAGAAAAAATGGACTTCAGACGTTAAATAAATCTTTATTTGTTTGCCTTTTTCATAGAAAAATAGAAAACATTAAAGCGACAATAATGCCCCGATTTATTAGACAGACAATACATAATACAGCATATAATTTTTAAGTTAGAAGTGATGGAGATTAATTCAACTGAAAGATGGTTTTCGTGACCGACTGAGATCAGTTTAAGAACCACTGAGAATATAGAAGCAGTGAATAATTGTTTGTTCTACTTCTGGACTGCCCGAAAATGAGTATCCATAACCACCACCCTCCACTAACTGGGTTAAAAACATACAACGTTCAAAACTCTCAATGAACAGGACACTTTAAGACCGAGTTAAAACACTAAGTCAATTAGAAAAACCACTTAGTAGCTGTGGAGTTGTCCTACTTAGGTAAATATTTCATCAAAGATAAAATATAAATAAATGGTATTAAATCCGTAACTAATTTCATTCCAACAAGCAAAACTAACCATCGATATTTAGCATCATACGCCATTGAGAAGGTCGAACACTCTGATGGAAACCAAACCATACTTCTCGACCACCACCAAGGGGATTTTCATATCCATCAGGATTTTGAAAAAAAGATCGACCAACTGGCGTGTAGCTATTAATATGAATAAAGAAATTCAACGATTAATGGTCGACATTTCATATATTTTCGATATATTTACTTTCATTAACTGTAAACTAATAGAACCAAAACATGAATGATGGATTGTATCGCATAAATGTTGAACTACAGGTATTATCAGGAATCTGGGAAAAGTTAACACAGCATAATAAAACTCCTCTACTCCCGATATATACTTACATAAATATAACCGATGTTTTTAACTAACATTAAGAGGATCCTCGTAACAAGGAGAATACGTAAAATGATTCTCTGTTCAAGATTTTAGCTTACTACACGTGGAAATAATTTCTCATGAACTTTAAAATTTATGATGGTAGTAAATATCTTAGTTGCTTTCAACAATAGTGATTTATTCGTGAAAATTAAGTAATTTTTTGCACATAACGATTGAATAGAACTAACGAAATTAAAGAATCAATTATTGGAATCCACACTATACTACAGAATAGAAAAATTAGAAAAGAGTGGATGGATCTCTATTTTACTGGCATTGATTTGAAGCTATTGATTGTTAACAAGTGGAAATCACCTAGAAACTGCAGTCTAATATGTCTCCGCCCCATACTAGGCCTACTCTAGCATATGCTGCAACGGTCCTACATAGGTCACGAAGTTCTGAACCATCCACGTAAGTATAATTTGAATAACTTAATTAACTGATCTATAATTATTACACCTACACATAAGACTACTCAGCCTCTGTTTCTATCAGGTGACACTGAACCGCATTAGTTTACGTCGTCACATCACGCAACAGAATGAGATTATAAAAAAAACTGAAGACGAAATCGTTAAAACTGTCTCGAAAGCAATGAAGAGGAATGGACCAATTAAAAACTAGAAAAGATGCTCAAGAATTATGATCAAGTGAATAGAATTGCACCTCCGCAATTAATTTCTACTTGTCGAGTAAGGATTTACAATACCAAAATTCTAACATTTCAATGTGTCTCATACCAAGGTCGGGGGCTTTATATGCTGATGTTATATACTGACACGATCGGCTTCATAATTAATCCAACCTATATTTATTACAAGTCGTGATTTCGCGAAGAGTTAGTGATGACCAGATATTCACAACACATGCTTTACGTAACTCAGTTAACGTAAGCACACAAACACAATAAACAAGGAGTTATATTTCATTTTTAATATAGTGAAAATTCCCATTTTGACATTTGGTAAATAAAAAAGGGACTAATCGAGCGAGGAAATTTCTTTTTATTTTTAACTGCTAAGGTTTGTACGTGTTGGTGTGCAGCTCAAGTATAAAAGTTTGAACTAATCTGTTGTTGAACCAGGTTCTATACTTTTTGATTGACTTTAAGAGATGTGCTTTTAATACGTTCTAAGTTGCTCAAAATTGTTTTACTCTAAAAAGGATGACATTTTATTTTAGCACCTAAACTATAAGATACACTACACAATGCCAATAACAAAAGAAAATGAAATTAAAAATAAGAAAACTATTACCTCATGCTCGGTAAATGACGCATGATAACATCCAACGATATAACAGCATCATTTGGAATATGTCGGTTATGACCACCGAGAGCTTCCTCCAATGCGAAAAGAGAGACTTCTGAAACATGTTTAATGGCAACACGAAAAACTCTGTCTTTTCCTTCTCCAGGTAGAGTAACTTCCAGTTCAACCTAAAAAGCAGTAAAAAGAAGTAAGAATCTGCTAACAACCAAAACATGAAAAAAATGAGTTAGTTCATTGTAAGAGCCTTGACAGGTGTCTCAAGCAAAACCAAACACTGACAAAATTGTTGACGAAATACCGTTTAACTGAGATCATCTAATCTGAATGACAAACTGGACTGCAAAGAAATAATCACTGAACTAATATAAGACACACGCCTATCAGCTGTGAATGCTTAACAAAATACGTGCTTTGGTAATTTTCAAGTTTGACTAAACAACTTTTAGAAATTCTAAACACGACCATAATACCCTAAGCATTATGGCAGTGTTAATAAGTCCTACAGGAAGAAGATAAGTGAACAGTAATAACTAACTGATATGTGGGCGTCGAAGATAATGGTTGGTTGTTTGCTTAGTTAGACTACTGGATAGTCTGACAGGTATCAGATGAGTTATATATTATCCTACCAATATTATGAGAGTGATTGTTGTTGTTTTTCGGTGTGGAAATATACTTGCATCCCAGTCAGGCCAGTCACGTGTTCTTGATCAGAGTTGTGTTGAAGTCCTGTACAATAGACACTGAAAGGGTGTCTAGTGTAGATATTCGTCTAAGGTAAATTAACGCCCCATTCGTGTAGACAGGAAAGCCGAGCGTTATGACAATAACTGACCATTCGATCAGCCATAGAATAAATGTAGAAAAATGCACAGAACTGTAGCAAGTGTCAGATTACTGTATGTGAACCACTGTATTATTTTATGAAATGGATGGAATGTGACCAGAAGCGGAATCCATGACACGCGGTTCGTCCTATTCAGAACTCCTCCGCTGAATGTACTTGCATTCCAGAGCTAACTGCCGTTTTATAATTTAATAACTGACTTCGTGACTTATCGAGTAAGGTAGTATCCAAGAATACTAAGCAATAAGAGATAACAGTGGCGACGAGGTAGAGGGAAAACACATCCAAGATGTCTATGTCAGATGACCAACTCAACCGAATACTACAACAAGAGAAAGCACAACTTGATGCGTAAATGAGGTTGTTTGCTATGGTGCCCTAACAAATATTATCAACAGAGTGTGAACGGTTCAAGTTACGCTCACTGAAGAAGGACCAATTTAAACGATAAATATTCATCAAAGCTATTTAGTCATCACGCATCGGGAGGAGTCCTAAAACTGGTTTACGAACTACAGTGTGAATTTTCTTTTAATGAAAATAGCTGTGAAGGAATATGTTATCTGACAAAACGACCAAACCTTGATCTTGTTGGTCTAAATATGCTAGAAAAACTTGGAATAATTGCTTTAGCCATTAAAAGTGTTTGCAACGTGTCGAGTTCATCATTGGATACTCCGATACTTGCAAAAAAGACAATTGAAAGGTTGCTGGAAAAGCTAAGGAGAGAATTCGCACCTATTCTTCAGAATAGTCTTGGTCACTGCACCAAGGTGAAAGCTCAATTAACAATGAAACCAGATGCAAAACCTATTTTTCACCTGATACGTCCTGTAACATATGCCGCTCTTCAACTAGTCGATCAGGAACTTAATCGTTTACAACAAGCTGGTGTAGCCTAACCAGTCAACTACTCTTAGTGACCCGCGCCGATCGTAGTGAATAAGAAGGCCAATGGAACTATATGCATATGTTTAAACGCTCTACTGGATACATGTCAGTATCTGTTACGTCCCTGAAGACCTATTTACTAAGCTTAATGATGGAACATGTTTCGCAAAAATAAACATCGATACCTATATGCAAGTGGAAATGACGACGATTCAAGAGGGCTTCTAACTATTGACACTCCAAGAGTTGCTTTAATATACCCACCTACAACTTGACATCAAGACTGTACCTCCCATCTTTTAGCAAATAACGGACACGATTTTAACAAGTATACCTGGAACAGCAACTTATCTAGATCATATCATAGTTATATGTTCAATCGGGAGTGAACTTTATGACCGACTACATCAATTTTTTTTAACCGAATGATGGAGTATAGTTTCCAATTACGTAAAGAAAAGTACATCTTAATCCATTCGACCAAATATCTTGGTTTCATCTAATATAAAAACGGTCGCGGACCAGACCCTGGCAACATAAAAGCCCTTCAGAAGATAACTGCACTAACTGATGTTAATTCATGAAGATCCTTCTTGGGATTGGTCAGTTATTACAGCACGTCTCTCCCTGAAATCCATCCAGTGAGAGGTCCCCTGAATGAATTACAATCAAAAGACAAACCTCGGCAATGGTCAGCAGAATATCAAAGATCTTTCAATAAAGTTAAATCAATCATCAGCTCAAAGCCTCTCTTGATATACTTCGATCCCAGTTTGGGAATTTTTGTTGTACCTGATATCTCAAGTCATGGAGTTGGAACATGTGTTTCCGGACAGATCAGAAAGAAAATCGCTCATGCTGCTAGATCACCCAACCCAGAGGAGCAAAACTACAGCCAGATCGAAAAAAAGACATCGCAATCACTTTCGCTGTTAAAAGACTCCCTAAAATACTCTACGGCTGTACGTTTACTTTACTGACAGACTATAAACCTTTAATTGTAATTTTTGGTTCTAAGAAAGAAATTTCTGTTTATATGGCTAACAGAATACAGCTCTGGGCGTCAATGGTTCTGAGATATAACGTCAACATCAAGTGTCAGTCCCAAAATACTATCGGTCAAGCTGACGCTATCTCGATTGGTTAGAATTCAACATTCTGAACCAGAAAATATGATCGTTGCCTCCAGAACTAGAAAATTAGAAATACGGAGTGGAGTGACAGATGCCATTCAAAACACTCCAGTGTTATCAGATGAAGTCAGAGAAGAAACTCTTCGAGACCCAGCCTAACAAGAAGTTAAAAGGTTTCATCTAAAAAGATGGCCCTCAAAATCAGCTCTACAGAGCTTCAGCAGTTTTACTAGCGCAGACTATCTCAATCATCGATACCCGTCTTTTGTTTGCCGAACGTACCATAATCCCAAAGAGGCTGCAACCAGCAGTGCTTGATCAGTTGCACGCAGGACATACTGGAATAAATCGGATGAATGTGTTAACACGAAGTTATGTATACTGGCCGTATTTAGACACCCAATTGGAACAGCTATCTCGTTCGTGTGTCAACTGCGCATTAGAAACAAGAGCACCGTGAAAGGCAGAGCTGCAATTATAGCCAATACCACAGTCACTGTAACAGCGTATATACCTGTAATTTGCTGGTCCACTTCATGGAAAAACTTACCGTTTAGAATTTGATGCATACAACAAGTGACCAGAAATTGTTCTCATAGGGCATCCAACTGCAAACTAAAGTCAAAAAACTACATCGACTATTTAGTTATTTCGTGCTTTCACCTGCGGTTGCAGGTAGACCCTAACACCAGATCCTACGAATCTACTCAAAGGGGATACGGCAGCGAGATATAGGCTCGATTAAGCCATGTTCCGTGCAGGATTGTGTCTGGGCACGTTAATTGGCTATTTCTTAACCAATCAACGCTAGAGGATACTAGAAGAAAACTCTGGAATTTTCTTACATAAGAAATCAAAAGTATGCCAATGTTTTTCTTATTGTGACTGCTTCCATTCAATCTTATTCATTTGGAATATAATTACGTTCCTGTTCAACCGTGTTCTGATTTGGGGGCGTGTCGAGTGAAGTAGTGTCCAAAGTATACTAAGCGATAAGAGAAATCATAACAGTTGGTAAATTTTGCTTATTGGCAAGTTAAACTTTATTAAAAAAACTAGTTTCATAGCTAAGCCAATAATTAAAACAGGTTTTGCAAAAATAAATATATAACAGTAGTTTACCGACAAAGTCGGCCATAGAAATAAAATTTACTGTAATACTTCTGTTGAAATTGACTAAAACACACATACCTTCTCTTTACTGATTGGAAGTGGCTCACGAGTATACATGTTTCTGCGACCATCAAAGACTGGTTTCTGGTTGTAAAAGTATTTTTGATAGTGCATTGAATTGACCATAGTCTCGATTATTTCACTTGATATACAAAGAAATGTTAAAACGGAGTTCAATAGAAGTAAAACGTTTATAATAACTCGGAAAAAAAAGGAATTTTCGATATTTTTACCAGGTGAAACACACTACACTCTAATCCACCATATTTTATTGCAATATATTAATCTAAAAATTCTGACTGACGAATCGGAAACATACTTCAAAACGAGTTAAGAAATAGCTGAATTTGGTACTAACACAGGGCATTGACAATTGAAGACTATCATAAAAACAAAATTCATCATTAGAAATAATTCCCTTAAATCCTCTTAATCGCGGATGATGGCAGTTACAAAGCCGTTAGATTTTTCTTCCGATAGTCTTAGTTACGGGTACCTTGAGCATAGACAACTAACAATAATTCGAATTTTCAATTAGTTGACAACACCCAGTTTATTGTCACTATATTTCAGACACACATTGTTACGTGTTTTTAGGAGTTATTTTAAAATAGTAAACAGATGTTAGGACAACGAATTACAGTTAGAGCGATAAAAGTGAATGAATCAAGGTTACATAGAGGAATAACACTGAACTTTTTACAAGGCGAACCAGTAGTTACGTACAGGTTCAAGTACTCCGTTTAGTATTATACTTTCGTGTGAGCGCTAAAGTAGGTAGAACACAACTCAAACCTGAAATCAAAATGCTCTAACAAGTGAGTTACCAAACTTTACTATGTGGTCACTGAAGACTGAAATATGAAAATAAACAAATAACTGGGAAATATGGTCTACTACATTTGGCTTTGAGTGACTGGAGGAAACTTCAAGTCAGGTCTATCTACTTGTTAGGACTTATTACTAGAGTGAATCTGCAACATCGAGCAAACCTGTGCTTGTTGCAAGATTTAAATTTGTATATTTCACGAGAGCAATTGGAGTTTTACTGTACATGAAATACCATTCGTCATAAGTTGAGTTACAACGTAGAGAGAATACTGACATTAACCTACTAATCCTCAAAGAAATTGGCAGTATTTATGTTGAACTAAGAGGGGATAAAATCTAATTTTAGTAAATGTTTCCTGTCCTCCTCAGGTAATATAAACAAACATCAAAACTATATCAAAATACAACTTCCAGACGAATTAAAAGTGAAAATATTTGAAATATGGGAGAAATGTTACAAGAACATCTAGGTCACCATATCATTTAAAATTAGCTGTCATTTGTAGTGTTCTGAACGGTCGTTTTAAAATACAGAATTAAAGTGATTTAAGATTTTTAAACAATAAACCTACCGGTTTACGCGTCTTGGACACTTTTCAGGTGTGATAGAGACATCATAATGATGAAGAAATCCTTTAGGCATTCTTATTTCAAAGTGATTAGCTCTTAAACTGATGCAGCGACCCTCTGAACCTCTTCCAGGTCGAGCAGGTGGTTCAAATTGTATAAGATGTTGAGTAGACGCAGACGAGTGTCCACTCCCACTCCCTCCAATAGATCCACCGGCACCACCAGAGCCACTGCTATTACTTCCTGGTCCTGCACTACTACCAGCTCCCCCAACGCTTAAAGGAGGTGCGTCTCCAACACCACCTACAACAGGAGGAGAGGATCCACTACCGTTTGCTGCACTTCCATTACTGATGTTATTATGAACAACTTCAGTCGGTCCATTACTAATCCCGTACGGAGCCCCAGGTGTTTTAGAAGCCATCCCACAGAGGGGTGGAAGAGAATGATTGCCATTATTAACAGTGGAGCCTGAAGATCCGCACCCGATTGGTCCGACTATAGACGACTGACAATGGGCCGGACTAACTGGGTTATTTGATGTTATGTTGGACAGACCCGAATTTACAGTTCCAGAGACAGCATCTATAATTTGCAAGAATTATATGATAACAAAAGCTACATCCGCAAATCTTTTAGAATGGCTAGACGGCTAACAAGATTTACAAAATTGTAAATTTATTCTTTGGAAAAAATGTTTACGAACATAAAAAACATTCCAACTTCAAAAGTAGAATAAATGAGGACGAATATTATGAAGAAGAATAAGACATCAGGAAGTAATCGAAAATGGGAGTGGGATATATGCCATCACAGGTCTTTTTAACCACATGCAGGATAGACAACAGAATATTTCAGTAATGTGTCAGGTACTGATAGTGCGGGTTTCTGACAATATAGAATCAATATATGCTTTTTCATAACTAAGAAAAATCACAAATCACTGACCGAAGTTATTGACTATTCGTCTCAATCAGTCAGCTACAATGTTGGACCAGGCACATATGTACATCGGTCCAAGTTAACATACCTCATTAGCACAACAGGATCAACACTGGACTCATAGAAGTAGTTAATTCAGTGATGGTAATATATAAGAGAAAAACTGCATATAAGGACATAGTACAGGAAGAAAGAATTAGTTCGTAGAAAAGAAGGTATGAAGCGATTTTATTCTCATAGTTTAGGGGAAGACAGTGAGTGTACACACCTATACCATTGTGATCGATTAAGGGTCTTGTCACCCAGAGTTTCCAACCATTGATTACGATAGTCACCCAGACCCTAACCGAGTAGACTGCATCTACCAACATAGCTCAGACTAGAAGTTAGTGACTGTAAGCACTGATGCCACGTTTTGGTTGGGCCGCCCCCAACTTTCTTCTAACCATCCGCAACATTGCGCGTCGTCATAATCGGTGTTCAGTCGATGAAGATTCACAAGTTCATCAACTGATTTACCATCATTCCCTAATACCGTGTGTTTAGCCCCACTATTACTTACCTGGTGATCCCAGCAGATGCGAGCAATATTTCTAAGACATCTGTGGTCAAATACTAGTAGCTTACGAGTATCTTTTACTGTTAATGGCCATGTTTCGCAGCCGTAAAGTAGAACAGAACGAACTGCCGCGCAGTATACTTAGTTGATAGACGGATATCTCGCCTTCGCCATATCTGAGGTAAGTTGGCAAAAGCATAACGAGCTATTCGAATCCGTGCTGAGATTTCGTCAAACACCAACCCATTAGGGCCGATCAGAATTCCAAGATAATTGAAGTTGTCAACGCGTTCAATTACTTCACTCCCTATCCTTAGTTCATGTGTTGACACAGGCCAGTTCTGAAGCAATAACTTGCATTTAGAGGGGGAGGAGCGCATCCCAAACATTCTGGCATTGTTGCTCAGTGCTGCCAAAAAAAACTCTGCATTTTATCAGTGTCTTCACTAAACAGGACTACATCATGTGCGTATTCTAAGTCGATAAGTGGACCTCCTGGTAGGAGATCAATGCCCGAAAATTCAGTCGACGAGAGCGTTATTTCCATTAGTAGGTCTATGATGAAGTTAAACAAAAATGGAGAAAGTGGACAGTTTTAACGGACACCAATTGAGGTTGCAAAAGCAGATGACAGTTCGCCATAAGCTCTGACTCGACTAGTAGTGTTCGAGAAAAGAGCCTTCACAAGGTTTATGTACTTCTGAGGTACACCTTCCAATGACAGACAGGTGTCTAGTTAGTATTACTAATCCAGAAAAATGAAGATAAGGTGACTAGAAAAAGACATATGGGTTGCATTACTCAGTTACGATGCACACGATATTGCATCAGTGTAAGATGATACTGTGCAGATACCCAAACCGTAGTAAAGCACAGGTTGAACCCATATTTCAACATTTAAACTCGTTAACTACTAAGCCATAAAAGAGTAATACGTTATATTCAGTGACCAATATGAACAGTCGCTTATAAAAACTCTGAGTCTAGAAAGATTTGAGACCCCAATTTGTAGCCACTTGTATGCGATCGACAACACCATCCAGTGGTGTTACTATCAGTCCGAAGCCCGGATAAGGAAGGAGGGTTGAGATAAGGTTAGCAACTAGACCCCAAGAGAAAAACTCCTAAAAAACGCCAGTCAGAAAGTCGTCTAAACTGTATCCTGAGAGTTGAACGGCTTTTATTTAGAATTATGACGCCCCATAGTGAAAGTCGAGATTCTCAAGAAGCCATGAGGCCGACGACCCTTCCAATAACCAGATAAATAATATAAGTACATGAAATGTCTGTACAACGTGGGAAAACCAGAGGAGAAATGAGACTATGCTTCAAAGTAAAACCCAGTGGACACAATCTGGACAAATAGGACTGATTTCAGGAAAGCTACTACTGTATTCTGGTTACGAAGAAAATGTTTCCCATACATTATGAGATGCATTAACGCTTTTCAAAGAAATTTGAAGTGTTTATAGGATGGGAATCTCATGGCTCCTGGATCATCAAAGCATATCCCAAGTGATGTTAAATACCAATTTTATGAGGTTGCAATCGATCCCAGAAAAGCCCAAGGAAAGACCTGACTACCCTGATGGGTGGATTTAACGCCAAAGTTAGGATGAACAACAGTGATTTATAACGTACTATGGAGTGGCACAGGCCTTGAGAAAGAAACCAGTGGGAGACTAGTAGATCTGTGCTTTCAACATGGTTAATTGTGGCAGCATTTCTCCCAGAACTGCATAGATAAAGCTACATAGATTTCAATGAACCATACTACAGACAAATAAGTCGATCATATCTGTATGGATAAAAAAGCTGAGAAAACACATTAAAGACGTGAGAACAAAGAGAGCAGCTGATGTTGATTTAGATCATCTCCTGGTGTCAACCAAACTAACAATGAAACCAAGGGGTCGTTCAGCGAGTGGACAAGCAGCAGTACAAAAATTTAACACAACCTGTCTTCGAGATTTTAACAAACTCAGTGAGTTCAACATGACATTCAGTACCAAGTTTGAAAATAACTACTAGAAGATGAAGCCACAATGAACAGCAACTGAGAAGTGATTAAAGAAGCAATAACTTCGGCCCCAAAATGCCCTGGTACGGCCGAGAGTGAGGGGAGTTAGCTCTCCCTCTCGAAATGCTCTAACGTGGCCTCGTGCATACAACCACTGCCAGGGAAGCCATACTGCCTTTTCACACCACAGATGTTTTTTACGAAAGTGAGGACGGAAAGTACTTCAACCGCGTTGGTGGACACGGACGGTCCACCTAGGGGAGTTGGAAAACCCTGATTCCAAACCAATGGTGTACATGGACTCCAAGATCCTGAAAGAACAAAAGGCATATGAACCCATTGTTGGTCACCTGATACCATGAGACTGCATCTCCCTAAATTGCTAAAGTCCCTTGTGGATTAGACCTTTAGGTCAAAGGCTCGTGGTGTAGCCCCTAAGAAAACCATCTGCTTCGGTCTGCGCACCCAGGCATTATCCCAGAGCTCACATAAATCGAGTGTTTATGTGGCGCATATATATTTAGTTCCTTCTTTTACTAATGATTATATGTTTAAATAAATGACAATAACTTCGATATGTCAGGTGCAGGGCACCAAGAAACCCTAGTATGGTGAATGGATTTCTGTTGACAACCTGGGCAATATTCAAGAAAGGGAGAACAAGAAAGCTGTCAACAATAGGCAAGCACAAAGGTGAGGGACAGGCAGACTAAAGAAAAACACACAAATGAGTGGAGAGCATCGGTGATGGAATTTCACACAAACAAATAAAACAAATCTATAAATTAATTTACGGCTATTTTCGCCAAGTATGCTTTACGATTGTTTATGAGTGCTGTGTTGAAAAGTCTGTAGATGCATTTCTAACAGACATTCTATTGGATTACGTAATGACCTACCACATACAAGCAAAACAAAGCAGATACCATGAAATCGTATTTACGATACTTATTTTTAGTACTGTTTAAAAGATATCTGTTGAAAATGATTATATGAGGCGTAGTTATTACAAGATAGCCATGAATGGGGACAGACACGAAATTACAAATTTCGGCCAGAGACTCCCATTACTATCAAACTGCACAAAATTCGGCATGTCCTTTCTCCACCCACGAACATGCGAAAGACGTTTTTGAGACCTAAAACGTAAACCCATTGGAAGCATTTAAAATTGGTGCTTTACTCTGATTGTCGTAGCCGAATTTACCACTCAGTGTCTCTGATTGAAGTTATTTTCTGACCATGGCGTTAGGTCTGAAAAAGTAGAAGCTGAATATCCACGAAAGTCCTGCTCCTTTCGAAACGTGGAACCACATGCACTGAATGAACTATTGATAAGCCATTTTGCAACATCGAGATTAAACTATTACGCTCCCGAACGAAGACTATTACCTTCATTAACTATTTATGTGTATAAGCACAAATTTAAATCTATGTCGCAACAGAATCAAATGACAGTGGAGAAACATTGTAAAAGGTTACACTGTGAAGCCAACACTAGATTCAGAATTAACGACTCACAAAATTACAGACAAATTACAATTTATAGAGTAACAATCGGAAAATCGGATGTTTTTTAGGACTTGATTGCCATGTTCGAGGAAAAATACTCGTCTGACAACTTACTATAACCTTGTGAGAGCTCCTTCACAGAAGAAGTAAAGAGGTGGGTGGGTGGATTATAAATAGTCCCATACATATTCAACATCTTTGGATCAAAGACGAAACCCAGTTTGAAAACGGCGCCAGGCTTTGTGAATAACAACAACCCTGATGACGATTGACAAATAATTTCTATCAAAACTAGCACAGACAATGTTCTCCATTATCGTATAATGTACTAATAAATAAGATTTCCACATGAAAATAATGGTTAACTCATGTTTCAATCTTTGAGATGGTCAAAATATAAAGTTTTAAAAAGCAGTGAAAATTGAGCGTGTAGCGGTAAATGTGTCCCGAAAACTAAATAGCTCTGTAAGTCTTCAACATTGGTTTTGACCTTATTAGTTTTAATAGACACACCCTAGCTGAAGGCTTTCGCTCACACATCCGCACCAGATCACAAATGAGGACATCTTTCTACGCATTCCTTACAACTTCAGGCCACCTTAGACCAAATGTTTTTCGACACATCTATAGCTTTCCAAATACATCTTCAGACCCCTTCATTTCCGACTTTTGATTTCACCGGGTTGGTGTACTCTGGCTATAAAAACTTTTACGCGTAAAGGCATTATCAAACTCCAAATACCTGGGGCATTTTTAGTGGTGAACTGGTACACCAAACAATAAAGTGTAAATCTGTTCCTTTTTGTTACATGACGAAGTGTTTTAATCTTAATTTTTAAATATAATGATTTTATATTCAGATTTTTTTATCCATTTGTACACTTTTTCTTCATGACGAGACAGATACCTAAGCTCTTGGAAATTAATGATTTCGCCCACCACTTTTCAACTCACGCCATTTTGGCCCGATAATATAGAGGTTTGGTTCTGATATGTAGAAGCTGGCTTACATGAGCAGGACGTGACAGACTCACACGCACAATTCCTCGCAGTAGCGAAGATACTATTGAGTGATTTTAATATACCTCACACCTATTATGTTCACTAGTGACGTTTATGAACTTGATGGCACACAAAAAAGACTATCCTCACAAGTGAAGACCTAACCGGCCGACAAAGTTCAAGCCAGCTCTTCCACAATATTGGGTTTCAACAGAGTCCAGAAACAGAAATGTTGCTATGCATGCGAAGAGTCATTGGTCAAGAGGCCTTTGATGAAGATACCTCTTCTTGTCTAAGCTTCCCAACAGGTGCAGGAGGTTCTCGTCCCATTCCAAAATAATGCCGTAGGCGAACTGGTCTCATCTACTGACCGGATACTCGAGGTCATCAGAACCCCTAGCACAGAAGTTTGTTCTGGGGAAAAAGTCCGCAAACAACAAAAAGTGACTCTACAGATCTCTGTCATACTCTCATTATTTTAATACTTATCACGATCGCTACGCTCCCAAACTCCTCAAAGAAGTACGTCACGAAGAAGATCTATCTCTAGGCCACGAGGGGCAGACAATCCTGATTGGTTTTTGTCGCACAATAAGTATGGTGAGTCTTCTGAAAATTGCATGAAATCCTGTGGTTCCCCAAGTTTCAAACTGCTCAAGACGAAAAACATTTCGAGAAACTTTCCCGTCGCCACACCTTAGTGGCAACCGTGGCTGTCGGGCATAGGCATCTGTCATACAACACGGATGTGATTATGATAGTCGACATTGGCACAAACGTAAGCGTTCTTCCCTTGACTTCTAAATTTGGTCTGCTTGAACCGGTCTTTAAATTACAAGGGGGTAAATAGAAAACCGATTTCCATGTGTGATAAGGAATATATTCACCCCAACGTGGTTTTACGCAAACTGTTTTATGGGATTTTCATTGTTGTTGATATTTCTGTGCCAATCATTGGTATACACCTTCTACAACACGATAATCTACTCATCGACTCGAACAGGTAGAGGTTAGTCGATAGAAGTGCTAAATAATGTGTTTGTTGAACCTTATTTCCTGGCTGTCAGTTAGGCTCAGCCACCGTTAAGCACATAATCAAACACATACTTGAAAAGTGCCGTGAACTGTACCAAACGCTGCCAAAATTAGAGTCCATAACCAGCAATCTTACACACTACATTACAACTACAGTACTGTTGTGGCCTTAGGTTGATTGGTTAAGAGTCTACCTCAAGCAACTAATTATATATCAAAACAATAGAGCTCAAGTATTTATTCACTTCCTTATTTTGTATAGGCATTATAATCCCTATTATCTTATAGTGAATGTTGAAAAGCTTTGTGTGTTTGAACAAGTTTTCCCCGGCTCCACTGTGACTGCTACGTACTCTAAACACTTATTTTCTACTAGTCTAGTTTCTTCTATCAGTAGAACAAGGGCTACCCATAGGCTCGAAGGCCTGCTATTATATAACGTGATAAGGTTGAAAATTCGAAACACTGACTTATCTGACCTTGGCAATGAACCAAACCAATGACGCGTTCATCTATACAAGCGGCCTGTAGTCGACTCTGAGTCATGATTGGTCCATCCGCCTAGCCCTGCCTGTTTGAGACTAGAACACAACTTCTACTGCATGGATCATATATGTCATACATACTTGGTTTATATACGGGCAAATTAGACCACATGACACCATAAAATAGAAAATAACAATTATATAAGATCAAATCAAGAAGTAGCTGTGATTGTTAGAGATGATAACAAACAAATTGAGAAAAACCTAAGAATAGTAGATTTTATAATAATAGTCAGTGATTCAAATCGAACCATATAACAAAGGGAACATGAATAAACACATTATATAGTTACTTAATAGTTATTCAACAAGAATATACATATCAACAGTCCATAAATAATCCCTAGCAGTTACCACTCATTCATTCTTCCTCGGTATATAGCAAACATCAGCTGTATTTTCGAAAGCGCACCGACTAGCTCAAAAAGGCGTAGGTTGACCATAAACGAATTCAAGCACACGATGGACTTAAGGATCACCGCACCACCGAACAGCCCTTGAAATGCTCTCTAAAACGGATAGCAACTATCGGCGTGCAACTGATGATTATCGGTTAATGAATACTAAAACCGCTCCCGATCATTACTCGTTGACGCATACCCACGACCTAACAACTAACTTGAAAGTTGCAACTGTTCCTTAGAAATTCAATCTCGTTAAAGCATGCAACCAAATCTCCATGATTTTAGATGATGTTCCAGAAATTATCATCATCACCCCCTTCGAACTCTAAGAATTTTCGCTCACACCATTAGGTTTAGGTAATTCTGCACAAATATTTCAGGAATTCATCAATGACGTATTAAGAGGTCTCATTTTCGTGCACACATATGAAAATTACGTCTTGGTCTCAAGCTCGGATCTAGAATCTCATCTACAGAATCTTAACATTGTTTTCGAACGACTGCAAAAGCATTGTGGTGCGTGCTACTTGTACTGATATAAGTAGAATATAACGTGAGTTAAAATAACATAATGTCTGGCAGCAGAAGATGGGAAGATCAAGAAAGGAAGAGTGAGAACACAATGGAATTTGTAAGAAATCGCATGAACAATGAAATGTAAGACAATGGATTGATGTTTGCAACAGCAAAAGTCCGGTTTGATATGATGGAATGATATTTTGCAAGTTAACGATTTACTATATGGTTTTTCTATTTTACCACGTAACTTTGTAATTTTGTGCTTAATACAATTTGAGTGTCCTCACCTGTGTTTTCCTTCACTACAGCAACACTGTAAACATTCGGAAATGTAAGATCGAAACCGACTCCCTAGATTTTCTTGGACACAGTATTGACGCTTGAGGCATTAACTCTCTGAAAAGCATAGCGGTGGTCATTCTGGATTACCCATAACTGACCACAGTCAAGTGTTGTGAAGTGACATTTGGATTTGTAGTGGCATCGGACCATAATCACACAATCCTCAAAGCTGAACACGAGACGACTCGGAAAACAGATATTCAATATTTAACGCAGAGAAATACCTAACGATGAAGAAGGCGAGAAGAATGTATTGAATGAATTGGAGTTGATAGGATGGCATGGTTCGGCCATGCAGGCGTGATCCCTCTGAATGTTACCTTATTTCTTCTATTCATATTAAATATATTGTTCCTTCCATAGCCTAACCTTGTTCTACATCATGTATTGGTAATTGATACCATACATGAAGAGTTGGTGTAGTCGATGGTGTAACTTCTACGTAAGATCTTGTAGATTAGGCAGTTATATCATGACAAATCTACAATTTTAGGATTAGGTCTATTATTATGACATTACTAGTATCATAGTAGACCATAATTTTACAAATTATTTCACAAGTAATCATCCACACAAGTTTCTGAAGCGTTGGCTCAAAACGTAGGACGAATCCTCCAAAAAATTCTGCGTAGTCTAAAATGGATATATTTAGGTGTTATAGGGCAAATTTAAATGCAGGAAAAGATGTGTAAATTTGTTTTATCGACGGTGCACGAAACTGAAGGCGGGAACCTACTAGAGGCTTGACTTCAGGGTTACTTGTATCTATTGTATCCCTATTCTACGTACCTTAACAAATCTAGGATTTACCAATTCCATGCTCCATTTGCATTTCTTATATACTGAGGCACGTCGTGCCTAAGTATAGGAATATTAAAACATCTCCATTTTCATCAGAAAAACTGGTTTCCTTCTTCAAAGTATATTTAATTTTGGGAGGGTTACAGGTCGCATTTAATTTTTATGAGAATGGTGTAATTTTTCCGCATCTTTGCTGCTCAACGTATGTAGAAGAATTATCAAAAGGATTGTGAAGATGCATTACATCTGGCAATAACTCTGGTCGAATGATGACTCCAAGTTTAATACGAAACCCCCAAGCGTTGACAGAAACGTTTTTTTTACATCCTACTTGACTGAATTACTGTTCATTCACAAATAATAAAAGTTAAGTGATTCGAAAAATCAAAACGGGAACTTCTATTATCTGGTGACAAATAAGGCTAAAGCATGATTAACTTTAGTGCACTGTAGTTTGATATGTGTAGTGACATCTTCAATCAATCACCTCGATAACCGTTGCTATATAAATTTCAACGGTGTTTGAAATCAGAAGACATTAGTTTATTAGAGGATAGCACGAATAACAAAGTTATAAGCGCATCGAGTTAATTCTG